CCATGATAAAGATTAGAAATCAATGTGCCTTCAAGTCGAAATAGTTCTGATGACAAATACATGCTTAATTCTTTTAGGTTGAGTTATAAGTAATTTCCGTTTTTGTCATGGATTCGTGATCCACTATTTGGGATACTTTGTGTTGCGCTATAAATAAATTATTTCTTCTCACCAGATTTATTCAAACTATACAGTGAGGTGATTTTGAGAGAACTAGGAGTCCTTTCAGGATTCACTATTGACAGCCATAATCTTGGCACCATGTTCATAGCAGACATGAAACAAAACTACAAAAACTACAACAGAAAGTAGTGAAGAAAAGTGAGAAGAAAGGATTAAACATCAACTGCAAGAAGACAGAATGCATGATTTTTAGTAAACGGATGAGCCCAAAGTGTGAATTGCAAATCAAAGTTACTAAAATCAAACAAGTATAAAAATTTAAATATCTAGGAAGTGTTTTAGCAAAGTACGTAAAATGCGAAACTAAAATCCGAAGACGTATTGCGATAGCCAAAGATGCATTCCAAAAGCTAAGCAGAGTATTAAGAGACAGGAAAAACTTCGCTAGAAATCAGGAAACGTGATAAACTGTTACGTGATATCTGTTCTCCTCTATGGCAGTAGGTGCTGGAAATCTAATCAAAGATGAAGAATAAACTTTACGTAACAAGAATGCGGTTCTACAGAAGGATGCTGAGGATACCATAGATCGAACATGTGAGCAACGACGAAGTTTTACAGAAAATGGAAACACAAGGGAAATTTATGCTTAACATCAGGAAGAGACAGTTGAAATTTCACAAAATGAGGAAAGACGGCTTGTAAAATCTGATACTCACAGAACAGATTGAAAGCAAGTAGGACAAAGGAAAACAACGCATAACTTACTGATTTTGAGTAAATGAATGACGGAACAAGGTTTTGGAGAAATAACAAAAAGACAGACTTTATTAAGAGCAGCGAAGAACAAGAAATTGTGAAGAACCATGATCGCCTACGTCCTGAAGGGACACGGCACATAAAGAAGAAGTGTAGCCCAGAATGATACAACGCCTAACAACTACTCCATGAGTGTGTACCCAGCTAGCACCCCGAGTGGCAGTCCGTGTAGAGATGACGGCGCAGTGTTACCTCGGACCTCGTGCTTCAGTAGACGCAGAAACCACTGTCATCCCAAGCTGGTGAGTACGGGATCCGTTGTAGATACACACAGAAGCGGTCGTCCTTCAGAATCTACATTAGAAGTAAATAGTCAAAAGGTCGACTTTTAACACTGTTCTGTACTTCTATCATTACACTGTTCCAAATAAAATGTTTTATGTAGAGACCTCCACAAAAAACGCAATACCTAAAGTGTAAAATGTATTTTGAAAAATTAAAAATCTTTCTTGAAGCTTTTATTTTGATTTTAATTTCAAGATAATAGATTAAATTTTATTTTTACAATAAGCAGAATACTTCGCTTTATTTCAAAATTAATTTAAATTGTCTGGAAGAATATTTATTTATTTATTTATTTTGTATTTTGTTGCTAAAAATAGCTGATTAGCGCCCCTTTTTAGTTGTCTTTCATCGCAATGTAATCCCTTTATTAAAAACATTCCAAAAATAAAATATACTTTTCTGAAAATTCATTTGAGGAATATTAGCTGATTTAAAATATAATTAATCTGATTTAAAACAAATATTATTTACTTTAAGTTTAAAATATCGCAGAAATACTTTTTTTTTAACTCGAGAGAAGCTGTATTGAAGCACTGACATCATGAGGATAGATCTAATATTTTCCTACGGAGACTTTATCTGTAAAACATAAATGAAGAAAATGACATGAGCGTCTTTTTAATATAATTTTTAAGTACCCATTAATCTTAAAAATTTAGGAAAATATTCTCCGTAATCTAATGTTTTATTGAATTTTAGAAATTTGGGCTTTAAATTTACTATAGCTATCACACTTATTTTCTGATAATGTCATGTATGGTCGCCCATAGTTAATTTATATTTATGTTGATGAGACTACACATGGGCACAAAGAAAAGAGTAACGCTGAGAATGCTAAATTATTTTTTATATATGTATCAGTCAGTTAGTTATGTGCCATGCGTGATACACGCTTAGGTGATCATGTATCTTTCGATACATTACTGACGAGGCAGATTTTTTCCCCGCAGTAGGTTGCCATTTCTTTATGCGGTAGACCAGTTGTCATGCAAGACTATAGAACTCGGTCTAGCCTGTTATTTACCCATAGTTGGAGGGAGGGGAAGAGGATTCATACCTTTCCCAAGGTTATTAGCACGTAAGTGAATGTAATGGTTTCGACTGGAATTCGAACTCGGCTCTCCAATTCTTCATGGAGTATATAATCTAGCCGATTTCATTTAAATTCTTTTTCTTTTTGTCTGTTTCCATCACTTTCTCTATTAAATCTTCCACATTATGAGAATAAAAGAGATTTTTCTGCGCACCCACGTCGCTACCAAATGTAACACAAGGTCAACGTTTAAAGAGAATTTAACGGCAATGGAAAAATTGTACAGCAAACCACCCTCCACCCCACCCACCTCGGCACTTCCCCCGTTTGGAGACCTCTTAGGTGCCGGCTAATGACCAAAGAGTCCTCCCGAAGGAGAGTTATTGCCCGGAAGGTGCTCCTAGAGTTTGTCGGAGTTAACTCCTCCTTTAGTATATTAACCCTTTCACCAGGGGTCGCTCTTCGCTGCTATAAATAGCCGCTGACCCATCGCCTTTTTCTCTTTTTCCCTCAGGCCTGTGCGCCGACACCTTTGGGGTAAATCTTTCTTTTTCCTCAGGCTTCCAGCCTTACCACCTCAAAAATGTGAACGCTCACCAGAGATAGCGTGTCCCAAAAATGCTGGGAACACGCTAAGCACAATACACACACACACACGCACATACAGAATATTCACACTCACACACTTTGTCTTTTGTAACTGTTTTCGTGTAACCTGTTTATTAATATATATTTGTATATACATATATTATCGGTCTTGTGTTTTGTTTTGTTTTTCTTTGCCTTCTTCTTTGGACTTAATCAAAGTCCAACCTTTTTATGTAGTTGGGCCCGGCGAGCAGGAGAATCTGAACCTTACATGCGTTTCTTCTATGTCTGTCCCCACAACATCACAGCCACAGCCCTCTACAAGTTTGAGCTAATATTATTTTGAAACTTTTTGGGCAAAGCCATATATTGTGATAATTGAAGATCTGCCAAGAGAAATTGAAAAATAAATACAATGTATCTAAATAAAAATTAAAAACATGTCATAACAGATCATATCATCTTAAATAAATCGACAATGTTTTGCGATAACATCAACTTGAGATTTTTTCTTCTTAAAAAGTTGAATAATTTTAACATATTCAACATTATGGATAAAAAGAAATGGTGGATTTTATTTTTATATGGTACTTTTTACGAGACTTACCATGAGCAAAAGAAATTCACGAATTTGAAAGCAAAAAAAAAAAAAAAAAAAAAAAAAAACAAAACAAAAAAACCAGAATGACATCAAAATCCGCAAAAAATTTTCATACCTTAACAGTCAATGTGCTTATTTTAATTTGGAACGAATATAAATTTAGATAGAAAAAAACAAACGTTAGCACTTCTAGAGACCCTCAATCAGGCTTGTCCCCCCCCCCCACAACCACCACCGCCATACACACACCGGTCTGGGGGTCGGGAGTTGTATGCACCGGGCCTGCGTGCATGCATACATACATATACTGAGTGTATGTATGTACCTTTTCATCGAAATTTTTTTTCTTCAGACAATATTGTCCTTATTCATAAAAGCAATTAAAAGCGTCTCTAATTAATTAATGTCTTAGTTTTGTAATTTGTTGTTGTTTTGTGTGTGTGTGTGTGTGTGTGTGTGTTGTTGTTGTTGTTGTTTTTTTTTTCTATTCAGAACATGTTTTCAGTAAGACGGGGTCCGATTTTACAAAAGAAAAAAAATTTAAATTCTCCAAAGAATTCTGCTTTTAGTTAGTCACTAAAAAAAATGATCACGTTGAATTTCTCAAGTTTTCATAAAATTAAGTAAAGAGGTGAAACACATGTAAAAAAAATATTTATTTTTACAAAAATTTTCTAATAAAAGAAGATTTCAAAAATAATTTCATTCATTTGTGAATAAGCCCTGAAAATTTTATTAAAATCCGACAATTATTTGGTTTTTGTAAGAATTTCCAAATTAATGTGTCTGTCACTGCAAGAAAGATGCTTTGCTATGCTAATTTTTAGTCCATCCGCTGACGCAAGAAAAACAAGATATTTATTAATCAAAATATTGAATGTTCTAAAAAGAATTTAAAAAAAATAATTATTAAAAAAATACTTTAATTCTTCCTCTACCATAAAAAGTCTGACGAAAAATCTATGTTTTCATTAAGTTTGGAACATGTTTTTATCATGGTATGCTGATTTTTTTTAGTGATCTTGTAGTAGAGGTTATTCCAAAACATAGGCGCTACTACTAAATTAAAAATGTAGGCTACTACTGTAGCAAGCCGTGAACCGTTCTCTTTCTGATTTTATATCGATACTGTTTTAGTGTCTAAAAGCTTTAGCGAAAGTACCACCAACAGACTTTCATCGTTTTTAAAATAGACGAACAGACACTGTAAACTTGATGGTAAACAAATAAAAACATTACAAAGTGTAAGGAAAGTGAGTGTGTGCGTATGCATGTTCGTGACAGGGTCAATCGAAGAAGGAAAATAACGTCGAAAAGGAGAAAAACTTTTATTTTTAGGTAAGAAAATAAAAGAAATTCTCCTTCGTCAAAGTCGGGAATATCTTTTATTTTTAGGTAAGAAAATAAAAGAAATTCTCCTTCGTCAAAGTCGGGAATATTTAAGAAGGTAATGATTGTTTTCTTCGAAAAGCAATCATTATTATCAACTGAATACTAAAAAAGGCAAACAGAACATTCCACTGTATTTCGACACGACGATCGATATTTTCCATGAACAGGAAGTCGCAAAATCCTTTTTCGTGTATATACCTGCTGACCTTAGCACGGTCTGGGTGTAGATATAGCGGGAGACTCTCTCTCTCTCTCTCTCTCTCTCTCTCTCTCTCTCTCTCTCTCTCTCTCTCTCTCTCTCTCTCTCTCTCTCTCTCTCTCTCTAATTGGATAATCTTCTTAAATAACACAATTTAAATGCCAATCTAATTTCTTTCTTTTTCTTTCTATTCCAGTCTGTTCATTTCTATCTATCTATCTATCTATCTATCTATCTATCTCCACATGCTTAAGTCTATCTATCTATCTATCTGTCGCAGCCTGTTCATATCTATCTATCTATCTATCTGTGCGTATTTATCCCAGTTTGTTCCTAATTTACTTTTCTCAGTCTGTTCCCATATCTATCTATCTATCTATCTATCTATCTATCTATCTCTCCTCTTTCTCTCTCTCTCTCTCTATATATATATATATATATATATATATATATATATATATATGTCAGTCTGTTCATATCTATTACATTCTGTTCATATTTATCTATAAAGACACTCCTGCTTGAAGCAAAAATTGGTGTGGTTAATCTGATTGACCATTAGTACTGGTTAAAAGTCTGAGCCTCAATGGATAATCCATACAAAATCCGCTGTTAAGTCAACAAAGGTAAACATGTGAAATTAACTAGTCTAACCTAATCTCTCTTCATCCCTCTGGCTGTCTCTTTCTCTTGTAGATAAACCTGATAAAACCATAAGCAAAAAGATGCTTAAAGAAATTTGGTCGACTATATGCCCAAATACATATTTAAAAAATATCAATTAAAAAAAATAAAATTCTAGTGTTCCTTCTCTATCGTGCGCATGTGTAGTCTCACCATGCAAACTTCACTTTAGTCCGATGAAATCCTAAAGTTCGGCCGTCGGACGAAACACATAAAAATACTCCTACATCAAGAGGAGTATCAGGAGGAGCAGTAGTAGCCTTTTGCTGAAAACAGTCATTAACGGCTAAACATTCTCTTCCCTAGTTTCTATTCTACATTATGTTTCCCTGTACCAAAAGGTAATAAACTTGTTAAACCAATTCGGGTTTTCTACTGTTGTTTTTGATAACTCAGTTACAACAATATATATATATATATATATATATATATATATATATACGCAAGAATACAAACAGGTGACTAAAAGTAAACTCAAATAGAAAACAATAAATAAATAAATTTACTAAACTAACACTAAAAAATAAAAAAAAACCTAAACAAGAAGGGGAAAATAAGCAAACTAAAAAAGATCAAAAGGCAGGTGCCTACCTAAACATTGCACAATACCTCGCTTATTAGGGCAACGTTGCACCTCAAAAGAGACAATGTTCGGACCACAACTTAAATTTCACGCTCCCGCGATGGTCAGGCAAACAGAACATTTTATATATAGAGTAAACTGATGAAAGAAATTCAAGAGTTAAAATAAGTAATAACAAAAATAAGAATATTTATTTTTATATTATTAGGCGTTTAGACTACATAGAAACATGATTAGAAAAGATGGTAAAAATCGGAATTTTCACACACGTCCGAAATAAAATTATTCAACGAGAAATAAAATGAGGTTAGATTTTTTTTGCGTGAATTTTATATATATATATATATATATATATATATATATATGTGTGTGTGTGTGTGTGTGTGTGTGTGTGTGTGTGTGTGTGTTATGTACATGTGCGTGTATGTTGATATATATATATATATATATATCTTGTTGGTGCATAATTATCAGGCGTTTTTGTAGGCGAGTTATTTGTTAATAAAAATTGCTGCTTTGTTTACTTTTTTAATAATAAATATTATTTTATTTTCAGGTCATATATATATATATATATATATATATATATATATATTGTGTTGGTGCATAATTATCAGGCGTTTTTGTAGGCGAGTTATTTGTTAATAAAATTTGCTGTTTTGTTTACTTTTTTAATAATAAATATTTTATTTTCAGCTCATAAAAATGTTTGTCGATAATCATACGCTCATTTAAAAATGTTATTATTGAATTGTTATATTTCTTTCTTTTTTTTTCATAATAAATATTGTTTAAATAACGCCCGATAATTATGCACCAACCCAATATATACGTTTAGAATATGTGCAATAATTCGATTTCGATCCTTATATTGTAAAGATACCCCGCGCTGCTTACACACATGATTTATTTTCGTTTCACACGCGTTGTTCTGTGTGTAACTCCATACTCACCATAATTTACATTCTCTGTTAACGAATTATAAGCTGGTATATATTCATGGCTTACACTGAACAAAAAAAAATAGAAAGAAAAAAACTGACTCAGAAGACCACACGAGACTATGATGCCACCCCATTATGCGGAGATAAGGTCATTTAATTTTCGACAGAGATCCAATTCAAAGTTAATTACATTTTTTTTTTACCTTAATTCCACGTAAAACTTTCACATTTCATTTATTTTCTCTGCTTTCTTATCCGCTTCACACTCAAAACTTGTTAAAGGCCTTAACGAGGGTAAAATTATATTTTATAATAACAGGAGCTATCCAGTCAATAGACGTTTAAAAAAATAAACCCTAACCAAATTATTTTCAATTTTTGCAAAGACAATGAACTTTGCTTGTATCCGGGTTTCCCCTTACATTTCATGACAGCCAGTAAGTTATCGCTTGCAAAGTTTAAGGGGAATAGTCAGAGGAATACGTTTGTAATCATCCAATCGTATTAGATTAGCCCATCGCCCGGGATTTTTCCAAGAAATCACTTCGTAGAATTTGAGAAAAGAAAAGGGATATAGAGAGAAAGAGAGAGAACAACACCGATCTTTGATACCGTTAAGAAGAAGAAGAAAAAAAGAAAAGAAAAGATGCGTCGTGATGGGGTGGAGGTTGATATAATATAAGCGTCGGCGGATCCTCAAGGTTCCATTTTAGCCAAGGTTCCTCCGTTCGAAGACTTCCTCAGAAGACTGATTGCAGATTTCAGAGACTTCATTTTTTTGTTTTAACCCTCTTTCCTCATCGTTTTCAAAACTTTCAAGAAGATCAATAATGGCAGCAGCAACAATGCAGAAAATGGTGAATAATCAATCAAATGCACACTCTTTTTCCAAACCATTCATCAAGCTGAAAAACTTATTGAAGAACACTGATGTGTATGATACTCTCCACCATAAAGCCATTGTTGTAAGTTAATATTTTTTAATTATCTTTTTTATTTGGTTATTACTTTTGAAAAAAGTTTTTTGTTTTCTTTTTGCTTTCTTTTTTTCACTTTGACGTCTTCTCGAAAATTATGTCATGCTTACGGCACATGTGGACGATGCTCTAATATATATGAAATTTTGACGTCCTTATCAAAAATAAAATCGCAGATAAATTAATATTATGAACTTTAAGATTTAAGTTTCTTTATAAACCTGATCCGAATATATAACATTTAATACGCAAACTGAAAAACATACAACGAATAAAATAAACAAACCGTATACTTTGATTTCAATAAAACAGATTTGAATGAAGATTTACTACTTACTTGAGTATGTATTATTTATTGCAATAATAATTACAACAATAATATTACAGAAAAAAAAAATATATATATATGCACACACATACAAACACATGCACACACATACACACATCTATCTATCTATCTATCTATATATCTATATATATATATATATATATATATATATATATATATATATATATGATAAAAATATAGTTTTAAGGTGTACTATATTCATGGGTTAAAGTACTCAATATCAGAAATAGAGCATATGCAATATAAAAGTAAACACTGAGGTCTACACCAAGTGGCGAAAACCTGTTTCATGCTTAAACACAATCTCCAGGCCATCTGATATATGGTGTTTAGAGTATGCTCTGAAGATTGAAAATCTGTTTCATGTTTAAACACAATCTTCATGCCATCTGATATTTATGCCCTGAAGATTGCTTTTAATTATGAAAAAGACTGTTGCCACTGGGTGTTTGTCAATGTTCACACACACACACACACACACACACACACACACACACACACACACACACACATATATATATATATATATATATATATATATTTAAAAGAAAAACAGACCACTTTAAGGTACCATTACAATAATTTATTTCACCAGAGTCCTTTTAAAAGGACACCGGATCATCAGGTAGCACTTCCAACAATGGAATGAATAATATAACCCCCACCCTAAGTATATTAAATTGGAAGTCCTTCTCTAAAACAAAATTAGGTAAAAAAATATTTAAATAATTATACATGATTATTAATTATGAATAATTATGATTTTTGATGATTTAATAACATTACGCAAAGATTCTGAAGCAATTATATTTCTGTCTCTTGTTGTTGTCGCTTTTTACATCTTTAACCATCTTCTGTTTTCAAAGACAGGACCGGGCATTCATTTGCTGAGACCCTAAGCTATATATGAAATCTTTTCGGAAGAAAGTCTTTGAAACTTAATGTACCATACAGTAGTCAAAGTATTTTGGAACTGTTGTTATTATTACTATATTTATTGTTATTTTTTATATTAATGTTAATGATTTCTTAACGTATTTTACAATTGTTGTTGTCTTCTTTTTCTCCTTTGTCGTTTTTTCTTTCTTTATTTTCTTCTTCTCCTTCCTCTTCTTAGACTTCTTTTTTCTTCTCTTTTTTCTTTGTCTTCTTTTTTAATCTTCTTCTTTACTTCTTGTTTTCTTCTTCATCTTCTTTGTCTTCTTTTCTTCTTCCTCATCATTTTGTCTTCTTTTTCTTCTTCTTTGATTTCTTTTTCTTCTTTTTCCTTTTCTTTATCTTCTTTTTTCTTCTTTGTCGTCTTTGTTTTCTTTATTTTCTTCTTTTTTCACCCTTCCTTCATATTCTTTGACTTCTTCTTTGTCTTGTTCGATTTCTTCTTCTTTGTCATCTTTTTCTTTTTCTCTTTCTTCTTCTTTGTCTTTTTTCTTCTTTGTATTCTTTTTGCTTCTTCTTCGTCTTTTTGTTTTTTTCTTCTTTTTGTTTATTCTCCTTCTTCTTCGTCACCTTTTTATTCTTCAACTTTAATTTTTCTTCTCCTTTGTCTTTTTTGTATTCATATTTTTTCCTCCTTCTTCTTCTTTTTCTTCTTCTTCGCCTTCTTTTGCTTCTTCTTTGTCTTCTTTTCCTTTTTCAACTTCTTTGTCTTTTTCATTCTTCTACATCTTTTTCGATATCTTCTTTGTCGCGTTTGTTTTTTCTTCTTTGCCTTCTGTTTCTCTTTCTTTTATTTTTCTTCTTCTAATTCTTCTTCTTTTTCTTCTTCTCTGTCTCCCTTTTCTTCTTTTTCTTTTTGATTTCTTTGTTTTTATTTGGCCTCTTCTTCTTCTTTATTGCCATTTTCTTTTTCTTCATCTATGACTTCTGCTTTTTTATCTTCTTTTTATTATTCTTCTTTTTATTCTTCTTTCTCTTCTTTTTATTTAACTTCTTTCTTTTTGTTCAATCTTGGTCCTCGTTTTCTTTTTTTCCTTTGTTTTCTTTTTCTTCTTCTTTGTCTTGTTTTTTTCTACTTCTTCTTTGTCTTAGGTTTCTTCTACTTTGTCTTCTTCTTCTTCTTCATTGTCTTCTTCATCTTTGTCTTTTTTTACTTCTTCCTCTTTGCTTTCATTTTATTATCCTTCTGTCTTTTAATCTTCTTCTTTGTCTTCTTTTTCTTTATCTTTTTTATTGTCTCTTTTCTTCTTTGTCTTTTTTCTTTTTCTTCTTCTTTGTCTTCTTCTTCATCTTCATTGTTTTCTTTTTCTTCTTTGTCTTTTTTCTTCATTTTCATTTTTCTTTTTCTTTTCTTCTTCTTCTTTGTCTTCTCTATCTGCTTTTTCTTCTTCTTTCTTTTTTTCTTCTTCATCTTCATTGTTTTCTTTTTCGTCCTCCTTGTCTTCTTTTATTCCTCTTTTGTGTCTTCTTTTTCTTCTTCTTCTTCATTGTCTTTTTTCTTTGTCTTCTTTTTCTTCTTCTTTGTTTTCTTCTTCTTCGTCTTCGTTGTTTTCTATTTCTTCTTTGTCTTCTTTTCTTCTTCTTTGTCTTCTTTTTTCATCTTCATTGTTTTGTTTTTCTTCTTTTCTTCTTCTTTGTCTTTTTTGTCTTCTTTTTCTCCTCCTTCTTCATTGTCTTTTTTCTCCTTTGTCCTTTTTCTTCTTCCTTGTCTCCTTCTGCTTCATCTTCATTGTTTTCTTTTTCTTCTTCTTTGTCTTCTTTTATTCTTCTTCTCTATCTTCTTTTTCTTCTTCTTCTTCATGGTCTTTTTTCTTCTTTGTTTACCTTTTCTTCTTTGTTTTCTTTTTCTTCTTCTTCATTGCTTTCTTTTTCTTCTTATTTGTCTTCTTTTTTTCTTCTTGGTTTTCGTTTTCTTATTATTATTTGTCTTCTTTTTATTCTCCTTCTTTTTCTTATTCATCTTCCTCTTATTTATATTCCTTTTCATCTTTTTCCTCTTTTGTCTTCATCTTCTTTATCTTTTTTATTATAGTTCTTTGTCTCGTTTTTCTTCTTTTTTATCTCTATCTTCGTCGTCTTCTTTTTCTTCTTCTTTGACTTTTTTCTTCTTTGTCTTCTTTGTCTTCTTTTTCTTCTTCATTTTCTTTGTCATCATTTTCTCTTTTGTTTTCTTTTTCTTCTTTTTATCTTCTTCTTATTCTCTTGCTTTGATTTCATTATCTTCTTCTTCATCTTCGTTGTCTTCTTTTTCTTCTTCTTTGCCTTCTTTTTATTCTTCTTTGTCTTCTTTTGCTTCTCTCAAATTTTAATAACTGCTGATCTTTTTAATAAATAAGGGGAAGCTAAGGAATGAAATTCCTGATACGTTAGACTTTCAAGAATATGACCCTTCCTGACTACCTCAAAGACCAGCATTCAAAATACTATCTTCTCTTTTGTTTTATATTTCTTGTTCCATCTGCAGTGGAAAGGGAGGTAAATAATTCATATAAGTATATTGGTGAGTGATTACTTCCCTTAATCATTTTAATAATCCATACAAATAAAATTTTTATCTGCAATTAGACAAAATCTCCCAAGCAATATAAATCGTTTAATTTATCAGTTTCTTTACTCCTGCATTTCCTAGATTACATTCTTATTTGTTCATGCCTTTCATGTGAGGCACACAGATACCTTTGTTTATTAAGTGATAGCCTTACTTCCAACTGGTCTTGAAATTGGCTTTGTCGTCGCCGTCTTTGTAGTCCTACTGTTAATCTTTTTCTTTCTGGAGATGTCTCCATTTTACTTCTTTTAAACATGTTTTAACATGAAAAGATATTGAGTAAAAAGCGATATATATAACATTAGGAGTAATCAATGAATGAAAGATATCGTTGAACGTCTAAAAATTATATAGGGAATCGATTAATTAAACGGTTCATTGGCCTCTATTTCACTTTTTTTAAGCATTTCACCCAAGACAAGGCGGGAGCGCCAACAGTACGCAAGAGATTACAGAGAGTGAAAGTAAGAGTAAAAAAAGGGTGTTTGAGGAGAGGATAAAGAGAAGGACGGGGATCAAGATCAAGGCATCAGAAGATGTCGATTGACATTACATTTTAATATTTGAAGATTATAGTTATCAGGGAAACAAGTAAGAGAAAGGGAGTTCCACTGTCGGGAAATGCGAGAGAAGAAGCTGTTGGAGTAGAAGAAGCGGTTACATTTAACTGTTTCGACAGTAAAAGTGTGGGACCGAGATGACAATGACACGCTTAAATTCATGCAGTTGAGGTACCAGTGAAAATGGCTCGTCAGATCAGCTGCCATGAAAATATTTGTAGAAAAAACAGAGGGAAGCTACACCATGTCTGTGAGAAAGTGAATAGAGTCGAGATGTCAGGTCAGGACCTATCACATTGAATACCCGTCTTTGGATTTTGTCTAGAACCTCGAGATGAACAGCGGGGGGGGGGGGCAACAGTATTCAATGCAAGGACGAATGGTAGATTTGTAGATTTGAAGGATGGACTCAGACAAAAAAAAAAAAAAAAGAACCTTCTGGTGCGACACAGAGAACCAACTTTCCTTGCGGTGGATGAACCAATTGATTCAATGCAGTCAGTGGAAAACGTGAGACCTAGAAGGCGCAAAGAGACACTCTTGTGAATACTTTATCTCCGCTTTATTGAATCTCAATAGATTGTTTCAAGACGTTTGTTTCATTGCATCTTACTATTAAAACGTTCTTTCAATTGCCGTCATTTTTCATCTTCCCTTTTCATAATTTATATTCAACATTTTCCGCCGACATGAACGTCGGAAGATTATATTGAATTAGAATTGCTAAGAAAGTCATTTCCCCTGTGTTGTGGTAGACAATTTTTCTCACCGGAATTTATCTTACATATTTATTCGAATATCCATTGAATATTGCTGCCACATCTGGTCTGGTGGTGCCGCTGCTATATATTTAGAGATTCTTGATAAAACCCAAAGAAGAATCTGCAATGTTATTCCTCCTGATTTGACATTTCAGCTTCAGTTACTTTTCCCTGTGCCTTTTCTACAAATCTTCTTGTTTTATGAGCCGTGTCCTTTCAGGATGTAGGCAATCATGGCTCTCCATTACTTCATGCCCTTTGTAGCTCTCAATAAGTTTTGTCTATTTCTTTTATTTCTCCCAGGCCCTGTTCTGCCATCCACTTGCTTAAGCCCGTTAAGTATGCCACGCACTGCTTTCCCTTGTCTCTCTTTCCCTCTGCCCGCCCTGTGAATATCAGATTTTCCAAGCCCTCCTTTCTCAATACGTGTCCCAGAAATTTCACCTGCCTCTTTCTGATGATAAGTATAAGTTTCCTCTTTCTTTGCATTCTCTCTAAAATCTCATCATTGTTCACATGCTCGGTTCATGGTATCCTTAGCATCCTTCTGTAGATCCATACCTCTGTTGCCTCGAGTCTCTTCTTCATCTTTGAGACCATCCAACATTTGCTGCCGTAAAGGAGGACAGATATCTCGTAGCAGTTCAGTGCCCTTTTCTTTGTTACCAACGAAACCCTCTGGTCTCGTAATACGCTGCCTAACTTTTGGAATGCGTCTTTGGCCATTCCAATACGTCTTCGGATCTCAGTGTCGCACTTATCCTCCTCTGTCGGAACACTTCCCAGATATTTAAATTTCTGTAGCTACTTGATTTTAGTGTCCCCGACCTGTAAATCGCATTTCAGGCTCGCCATTTTTTTTTTTTTTTTGATAACCACGCATTCTGTCTTCTTGAAGTTTATGCTTAGTCCTTTCTTCTCGCTCTCCTTCACTACCTTCTGATTCTCTCTCTCTCTCTCTCTCTCTCTCTCTCTCTCTCTATCTATCTATCTATCTATCTATCTATGTATCCATCTATCTCTCTCTCTCTCTCAAAGGAAGGAAGAAAGAAGACGCACTTCTCCCCCCATCCCGAAAAAGGAGAAGCGGTAGTGATACCACACCACACAATCCCATCCCAACTATGGCATGAAACTTTCAGACTTTGACCAAATGCCTGAAATTAATCATGCCGACTTTCTACAAATACTTCCATTGTAATTGTTCTGATGAACCTTCCTGTATGATTCCTAGACTTTATGAATTTAAGCTCAGTACTAGATTGGCGGCAAGTTAAAATGGTTAGATGTAACCGTAAGTTCTATGCTAACAGTTTCTTCTATCGCACTTCTCGCTTTTGGAACTCTCTTCTGTCTCCTAGCTTCCAAGTCAACTTTGATCTTCAAAAATTTAAATGTAATGCCAATCGTTATCTTCTAACATCAATTCACCGTTGAAATGGCGTTCTTTTTTCTTTCTTTTTCTTAAAATTAATTCTTTTTTATCATTATTTATGGAAAGTTATAATTTTAGAAAAAATAAAAATGAACAACAGTACCATATTTTTCTAAACTAAACGATGGAATAGGATTTTTGAACATGCCACCAAAAGTGTGCAAGTAAAAACCTGAATCAAAGATAACAATTACCGTTTCCTGTTTAAACTCTGCGGAAAAGTTTCAAATTCATAAATGGTTTCTTAATAAGCTCAATGGTGGTCGGAAATTTTCATCAAAAAATAAATAAATAAGCTTTTTTCTTTATATTAGCAATTTAAGAGTAATTGTTGGATAACAACATCAATAATAAAAAAAAATATCTTCTAGGAGTGACGAATCAGTTTTTAAAAAAAGATAAACTCAATAAACAAAAAAACAATTGCCGTCACGTCATCCAAAAGGAAATGTTTCCTTCCTTAAATAAATATTAAAGAAAGAAAGAGTAACAAACAAACAAAAAGTAATACAATTGTTCAATAAACACATCAGAACAATAAAACACATACATCAAAAACGGATCCCCTCTAATTCTGTGCCCAAATTCATTGGACCCGTTTTTATATCCGGAATTAATAGGTGTGTTATCATTTTTCTGTTATTGACTTATTTTCAGATAAAAGGTCAACTACATTTTTCATCATAATGACGTTTCCAGGAATTTACAATTAGGATTGCGCACAAGTCGAGGCCAGTTTTATACGAAGCTCGAAAATAAAACTTTTACGTTATTTCGAAAACTATTAACACCAGTATTTCGGTATTTGTAATTTTATTTCATAAACTCCGATTTTTGTTAAGATTAAACAAGAAATTGAGAGCATTAAACAAAACCATCTTAATACATCTTTAATGTATCTTTAATATATTTTTGAATAATTTGTGGAGTGATTCTAGATAATTTGGTTACTGGAATACGTGTATCTGTGGTGAACGCAAATGTAAAATAAAATAAAATGAAATATGAAAAAGAGAATGTAACCCCCTAAAAATGGTCTCAGATGAAAATAAAAGTACTTGGGAAAATAAAAATCATTTGAAAGAAAATTTTGGTATTTTACTTAATCAATTTTTTACAGCTACCAAGAAATTGATTCGAGGACTTGAAAGAATTAAAACAAAAATAAACAGACATAGCATGACTAAATTATTTAACCAAACCTTTTTGAATATATATATATATATATATATATATATATATATATATATATATATATACACACACACACAAATAAAAAAAGAACAGATGGAGTAAACATCCACGGTTCGTGGCATTTACTTTTTTCAATATATAAATATATATATATATATATATATATATATATATATATATATATATATATATATGTATGTATGTATATGTATCAACTGTTTATATATTAAACTGTTTATTAATTTATTTTCACCTACTGGCCTGAATGTTTGAGAAATCTTATTAAAGAAAAATTTCTTGCCGAAGTGTGCAAATATTTCTTTAATAGAATTTCTCGAAATTTCATGCTGTTAGGTAAATATAAATAAATATACTAATAATATATAAATGGTACGCTTACTCAAATACGAGGATCCACTAATAATAACGTTTAAAGTCACACACAAACACACACGCGCATATATATATATATATATATATATATATATATATATATATATATATATATAATCCAACAGAATGATAAAATAAGTAACAAGGAGGAAAACGTTTACAAATTTGACATGTTCCGCTTTTATTTAAGCTTCAGCAGAATTTTTTTGAAATTAGTTATGGAACTTTCTCTTCTACAGCTATATAAAATTCACTATTTTTTATCCATAAAATTCACTAATTTTTATCCATAAAATTCACTATTTTTTATCCATAATTTTGAATACGTTAAAATTATTCAACTTTTAATAAGAAATATTTCATGTTGATGTTAAAAGTTACCGCGTTGTTGATTTATTTTAGATGGAGTGATCCCTTATGACATATCTCTAATTTGTATTTAGATACATTGTATTTATTTTCAATTTTTCTACTTGAATTGTTCACCTATATTGCATAAACTGTGCCTCTTTCTCTATAACCCTCGAATAGCTTCCGTGCATTGTACAGGGTGAGGAACACTACAAAAAAAGAAAATAAAAATAAAGAGATAGTTGAAAAGCTTTTAGCTTGATGAAGAAGACCTTCCACATAAAAAAAAGACGGAATGATCTTCGGTCAGCAAGTCAGATTATGGGAAATGTGTTTGACCGAGAACTTTTCAGTAACTATTCATAAATGTGTTGTCGATATTTTAATGTATGTGTGTATTGTAAATTAAACGCTTTTCCTTACAGTAAATATGTTTCTATTCTAATAGCCAACCGAATGCGAAAAGAATAGATGCTTAGCTTCTAAATATTACCCACCATTTGAACGTCCACCCATGGTCGTTCGACCCACAAAAGAAGTCCTGTGTCAAGCTGGTCAGTTTTTGGACGAATATTACACGTCAATCGGGAAGTAAGTACAATAAACATTTTTATTTTATTTTTGTCTTAAAAAACGCATTCCATATTCCTTGACACCAACGAATAATTTCATACATTCAAAAAAATTTTCACAAACAAATCAGGAGTTCAAAGCTCAAATATCCGCGCACGAACGGACAAACTCCATTTTATCTCTCAATTGTGTCTCTTTTTCGGGGAGAGTGTCTTTGACTGCGGATAGAGACGCATCTAGAGAAAATAAAAACTTTAAGGTGACCGGTTCCGGTGAACAGCTGTCCGATGCTGCACCCCGACTATTGCACTAGAGAGCAGGGATCGGTAGTCATACCGATGGCAGCGCAACCTACGGTTGCGGGGACTGGACAATTTTTGCTCTTGGCCCGAGTGTACGCGCTCGGATTCCTCACATTAAACTCGATCTTGTGTCACATCTCGTCTCACTGGGGAGGCTGGGGAGGGGTAAATAACAGAACATAACTGCAAATATTACTGAGAGTTGACCGGTCTCTGGGAACAGCTACCTGCGACGATACCCTCCGTCATGGCACTAGTGAGAGAGGATCGCTAGTAATACCGACAGTTGCAGAGACTGGGGTATTTCAGGACCTGACCCGGGTGCACGCGAAGGGACTCCCCACATTAAACTGACCTTGTGTCACATCCTGCCAGCGCGGAACTGGAAATAATTACAATCTGCCTTTGGGCGGAGAAACTACATTTTATCTATCAATTGTGTTTCTGTCTTCGAACAGATCGCAACCCTGTTGTGTCTTTGCCTTCAGGGAGAGCACAAATAAAAATACCGAGAGGTACCTGTATTTAGAGAACATTTGTTCCCGGCAGTAACCCATCCCACCACCACCATTACACTAAAAATGGGGGATCTGTAGCAATACCTATGCCAGCGCAACTGACACTTGCGGAACCTCGGTTATTTTGGAACCTGACTAGAGCGCATGCGGTCGGGCCTCCCATATTAAACTGACCTTGTGTCACATCCTGACAGTGGATTTCGTTTTGGCCGTAAATGGAGTAAACTGCTATTCTCATTTTAGATGGGAGAAGGCGCCCAGTTCCTGGGATTTCAACGCTGCGGCAGCGCCTCCCTCATTGCACTAAGAGAGGTAGGGATCGGTTTATATCGACAATGGTCGCGAGGATTGGGCAATTTTTGTCTATGGCCCATATGCATACGTATGTGCATAGGCTCACTGTGTAAAAATAAAGGTTGTGTCACATTCTACTTTAGTGTGAAAGCTGGGTAAATATAAATATATATTTTCACGATTAACGAATCAAAATGTTCGTCTCATTTAATTGCAGATTTCGTTCACTAACTTATGTATGATTGGCTGCCGACAACTTAAAGGAAAGATAGCTGCATGGTCTCTGTGAATTCCTCAAAATGTCGCTTTTTTTAACAAAATAATCTTTTACAAATACCATCATCATTTACCTACAAGAAATAATTAATGTTAATATTAGGTTGATCCAAAAATAATGTCGTTTTTTGACGTTCAACTTAACGTCAAAACGACATTATTTTTGCACCAACCTAATAACTGATATATAAAAACGTTCTAGTTTTCTTTTAGTATCTCGGACCCCTCTGTGGTAGCTATTGATATCTCCTTCCAAGCATCTATTAAACATGAACCCCCTATCCATAAGCCCTCTTTCCGGTACCAGCATGCTGACTGGGAATCATTCCGGGGTTTTCTCAGTGACGCCCCTTGGATTGATATCTTCGACCTCCCAATTGAAAAGTGCGCCACTGAGGTTTCTTCTTGGGTCAAAGCCGGCAGAGATGCCTTCATCCCTTCTCGTAAATACCAGGTGAAACCGCAATCCTCTCCATAGTTCACACCAGCATGCTCGGTCACCATAGCACACAGGAACCACTATTTCCGGCGATACCAGCGGGACAGCTCTCGTCATAACAGGTGCCTATTTGCTACTGCTCAACAAATGTAAGTGTGTTCTCAACGAAGCTAAGTCCCTGTTTGCTGATAGAATGAGGCACTGCATAGCTTCTAAAAGCATTGGCTCTCGTGACTACTGACGTTTCTGTAATAGGGTACTAAATAAGTGCAAGGTCTCTATTTCCATCTCTTCCCCCTCTTCAATCGATTTGAGGTGTTATCATCCTCTGCTGATGAAGCTGAATGTTTCGTTAAGTTAGAAGAAATCCTCTGCCAGATTATGGCGACATTGTGTCTAGTTCAGGGTAATAAAACAAAGAATATTCTGGAAAAAAGAGATTGAGAAGAGAGCTCCTTCTCTCGATTATTTTCAACCAATCGGAGGAACAGAATTTAAAACTTGCACAGTTCTGAAACGTAACTTGGGCGCATTTCGTTAAAAAATATAACTAATTCTCGACACATCTTTGAATCGATAGTCAGGATAGTTATGGTCAGCGGATCAATTAGCATTCTAACAGCGAGGAATAGATGCCAAGATACCACGTGACCAGCTAACATATCCGGGTAACATACGAAAACCTACAATTTTAGACACCCACCAAGTTTACATCGATGATACTAGACATCTCGCTCGCTGCAACTATAATTCTTCAACGTCTACCACAAACGATATTCACTCGGCAACTCCTTCAACGAGAAACACTCTCACTATTACATCGGTTTATCGACACCGAATGGGTCAGCAAATAAACAACACATCGTGAACGTCGATACCATTTTCTACCAAGGACATGTTTTAAATTTTAGCAACGAATGTAAGTTCCCATTTTCTTATGAATTTGTGCTATACTTAATATTGTGTCCTTGAGAAACTTATGAATCAACCTCTTCATTTCTAGTGTTAGGTATTTTCTCGAAAACTTTCCCGTTCTTTGGTATTTATCGGTACCCTTCTGACTCCCAGACATTTACCGACAACCTGAAAAGTCCCATAGACTCCCAACGAGTTGATACTGAGTGCATTAATGGCCTCTGAAAGAAACTATTTTCCAGCAACTATTGCCCAGATAATAATGACTATAAAATCCTGTTGCACCTACTATCTACAGTAGATTCTTCACTTTACATGGCTCACCAACTGAATGGGAAATGACCGGTGATAGGACGGAAGGCAGAATAGCCTGCTTTCATTGGCACTGTTTTAAACAGAAATATTGATTTTTTCTTCTTTCTAATGATTCAACTCATTCACCTTTTTTACATCTCTCTCTCTCTCTCTCTCTCCCCTCTCTCTCTCTCTCTTTCTCTCTCGTTATTACACACTCGGCACAAAAATCATCTGAATATGTGGAGTCGAGATAACAGAATAAAGACACAATTTCTCCCCTTTGATGTATCTTGACCCCCCTCTCTCTCTCACTCACTCTTGACACTTTCTTTCTCTTTTACTCTTAGTCCCAAAAGCATCTAAACAAGACCAAATACACAATTTCTCTCTTTTAATCTCTCTCTTTCTCTCTTTACTTCATTTCTATCTGTCCGTCTCTCTCCCAAAAAGTCTATGAATATCACTTGGTTATGCTGAAATAAAAAAGATACAACAGTTTCTTTTACTCCCCTTTATTTCATTGCAGGGCCAATAGCGTTGAGTACCAGGAAAGACTAAAGGATATTATCGAATCCGTGACGAAAACTGGTACCTATGACATGACTCGAGAAGAAATTGAATTTGGTGCCAAGACAGCATGGCGTAACACTCCACGCTGCCTGGGAAGAATTCACTGGCAGACGCTCAAGGTAGACACAGCATTACTCTTTCCCATTTACCACAAAAATAATGATTGAATATATATATATATATATAAATTTCTGATATTGAGAACTTTAACCCATAAATATAGCATAACTTAGAGTATATTCTATCATTATATATATATATATATATATATATATATATATATATATATATATATATATATATATATATATAATCTGATTTAAACTATTTAAACTAAAAAAACCTGGATAACACAATTTTCAAATAAATTGGCATCCGAATAAATATGGAAAAATAGAAAGCACTAGAAACCTCCGAACAGGGTGAAAGAAATCGTCCAGTACCTTAAATCTCTGCGACAAAGAAAAAAATCAGCGAGTAATAAAACGAAGAGTGCACAATACGCTAAATAGAGTAAAAGGTAAACTAAATAAATCCTAATGAGCTAGGTATTACCTATCTGATGATCCCAAGTGGTGAATACTAGATAGGTAGTACCTGGCTCATCAGGATTTATTTAGTTTATATATATATATATATATATATATATATATATATATATATATAGTCATCCACAGACTGGCCGTTTCGCTGAATCACAGCTCCTCAGTGTGGCTAGACGTCCGGTTGCTTCAAGCCGGGCACGCTTTAGCGATCGTCAGACAAAAGCGTGAAACCCAGCTTCACAAACTCACATCTATCCAACCAAATATGTTAGCTCTATCTCTATAATTATACATACTTATATACACTTTTCACACACACACATATATATATATATATATATATATATAGTAGTCGGTGATAGTAGTCGTGGCTCCAGGGGGTACAGTCTTATGGTTACAGAGAATCTCAGTAGAGTTCCACCACGGAATATGTGAGCGAGCGGCGCCATATTGAGTCTGATTTGCAACCTCTTCGTTATCGAGGTTCGTTGGCGCTGTTGGTATGATGTTTGCTTGACAACCTAACTGTCAGGGTTTCGATTCTTGGTAGTGTGTGTGCACTGCTGATGAATCCCAAATATAGGACAAAACGGACGTCTAGTGTTTCCTGCATTCTGTTGAGGTTTCAGACTCGATGAATTATTTATATAATTTGTTTTCCATGATTTCCGCGTGGTGTTTGAACGTAGATTGTGCGCTCTCGTGGTCAATAAACTATTATCAGAGAATACTGTGTAGGCTCATCAAGTTGTGTCTGGAATCATTCATTATGCTATTTTGGTGGTTTTCGAGTATCGCATCCTCATGCCTCAATGGTTGTCATTCGGTGTTTCTCAAATATCACGTGTGAAAACACGGTACTGGAAAAATCTGGAAACGACGCATATTGACGGAAAAATCTGGAAACGACGCCCATTGACGGAAATTGTCAGTTTGTGGTACTTTATCAAATTATTATTTATTTTTTTTAGATTCGAAATATATTTAGTATGTTTGTTCTTAATTTGGATGACATTTGAATTATATAAACATATACGATAAAAACGAACACGAATATTAGAAGCCTTGACAATAAATACTGCGCAGAATCAAATAAGAGATTAGATTCAAACACTGTGAAAGATACTTTAGTTAATGAGAATATTTTCCTCTTTTTCTTAAACGAACTATGCGAGAAAAGATGAAAAAATGTTTACATTTTTTAAAACAAACAAATGGACAAATGGTGTGGCATGCATGTTATGAGGATATACAGGGTGTGGTAGAAATACCTCCTATAAATACCTTCGACATAATGGTAAGACATTAGTGGCAATGGTAATTTTATCTAACTAATCTCTTACTATTATGTGAGAGATATATGCTGTATAACAATTAACCTTAGACTTCAAGGGTTTAAAATTGTAGTGATCGGGGAAGCATGCTCTTAGGAGTCTATGCCACAATGTAAGTTCTGTGGAAGAATCTGTTTGAGTGAGGCTTACTCCTTAGCTTTAAAATACTAAGGGAATGAGAATGAATCGACCCTGTGTACGTGACATGCCAGGCCTTAGAGTGATCATACCGAGGGTCCCAATAGGTCTTACGATAGTTTTCAGGTGCCACATTTTTTCTTTTGGATTTCAATTTCAAAAGGATAACATTTACTTATTTTGTTATATTCTTTAATAGATATATTTTTATCTCTCTAACGTAAAAGCCCTGTCGCCGGCAGCTATGTCCTGTCTCCCCGGTGGTTCTGGCCGCTAAAAGAAAACCACCTGGTCCTCCTCCGAGGAGCTGAAGGAACCACCACTATTCGCCACGTTGTGAGTTTTTGATCCGAACAGCAGTGTCCTGATCCTTCAGAACGGTCCGGTGGTAAAGGATGAAATGGCTGGGTTCTACGCTGAAAGGAATCGCTATTCGTGCAGAAAAAAGTCCTTGTCGTAACCGCAAGGACACAGAAAATAAGCAACACTTTCGGTTCCTGTACAAAGAGCCTTTTAAGGCTACTGCTTTTATGTCACTACCAAAGAAATTACACGAATACAAAGTGTCTGAACGAGATTCACTCGTTTGGGTCGGAAAGTCACAGAGAGAGAAAAACGATTATTATGCTGATAGGAATTCAGCTGATCTAAGGGAGGTAATTCGTGGATCTTCGTCTGCACCCTACGATATATCAGTCTGCTTTCTCACAGCTTTGTTGACGACGTTATCTGGATTCGTACGGGTTCTATTTCTATCTCTTGGTTCGGATGGGTCTTCTTGACGCAAGACAACCAACAGAGCAAACCAGCAAAATCCACCAAGCCGTTTTCCCCCACTTCTGTCTGCGTTCTGTTTAACTCAAGCGTGTAGGCGGCTTATATAGAGCGGGGCGGAGCTAAACAATTTTTAGGCACCGCCCACGAATTTTAATATGCAAATCGCCTTGACCACCATGTGTTTCCACCTAATCTCCGAATCTCTGCGGGCAACCAGTTCTCAAATGATACTAAAAATGAATTTGGATTCCCTGTTGGGTTTTCCTCAGACATCATCTACTTAAGCCTTGCGAAAAGTACTTATCTCGTCTAAGGACTTTGGCTGGATTTCGTCCTGCAGACCACCCAAAAATCCAATTCACCATTTATCACAAGCTTTACTTAACGAACCCGTCCATTAATCACTCTGAAATTAATTCATCTAATTAACTAATAACTCAATCCCAGAAACAATTAAAAAAAAAAAGAAAAAACTTATTTCTGGAATTACTCCGGAATCCCTTCTACCCAACTAATTAGTACCTTCATCCCAATCCTTTAGAACTGTTGATTAATAAACCCACCTGGGGGGGGACTCTCTCTCTCTCTCTCTCTCTCTCTCTCTCTCTCTCTCTCTCTCTCTGTCACATCTTAAGGCAATACCATATCGACGTGAAAGCAAATGATCACGTATTCTCGTTTAACTGGGTATTGTTTTGTTTTTGTTTTCTCAAGTTTTTATCAGCTCATGTTATTTTGTTATTTTTTAGATATGAAATATATTTAATTATTTACATTATTTACATTGTTCGAACAGTTGTCCTCATCTTTATTGTCATGTTCACGACGTTTCGGCCGTTGTACGCTCCGGCTTTCTTCAAGTGATTAAAATTTCGAACCGAACCCTTTATTTCGTCTACTGGGGTGGACTGTTCTAGTTCCACGCACCATGCCTCTTCCGGATGTCTTAGTTATCGCCTTTTAACTCAACTCCTCACATTTTTGTTCACCACTGCCGTAGCCAGGTATTGAACTCACAACGCTTTGGATTAAGTCACTGGATCCAACCAAACTTTTTATCCACTGAGCTATGTGTTCTTGAGGGCTCAGTTCGAAATTCCAAATCACCTGAAGAAGGCTGGAGCGTACAATGTCAGAAACGTCGTGAGCATGACAGTAAAGATGGGGACAACAGTTCGAGCAATGTAAATAATGTAAATAATTATAATTCCTCGTCTCAGAAATATAAACAGATAAACATATTTAAGGTTTATCCCTATATTGTGAGAAAGTTTATTTATGTAAAATCTTAAAAAAACGATTACAAATATTAAAAGCCTTAACCATAAACAAGCAACTCGGTATCAATAAATAAAGAGATCAGACTTAAACACTGAGAAAGTATGATCTGGTTAACAAAAGATATTACATTTGTATGTATTTTTGCGTGTTTTAGATTTTTGATGCGCGGCATGTGAAAACAAGCAAAGAAATGTTCGAGCACATTTGTGAAATGATGAGATATGCAAACAATAATGGCAACATCAGGTAAAAATTATTTTTATTCAAATTGATCAAAGTAGAATATCAACTAAAACTGTTATTCTTGACTTTTTTTCTCTCCAGCAACATTTTTCTATCCAGTTATATATGTTGGTTGTCGCTGGTAAATTACAGGGTGCGATTGATAAATTGTCGTCAAAATCACGTAGAAATGAAATTAACGCTGATATCTCATTTTAACAGCTACACTTACCAAAATTGCCCAAAAATATCTCAAGTAAATTAATTCAATAAAACCGCTATTGGCTTCAACCGCGCACGCCAGACGCCTTCAGAATCTCCTGCAACTCTTCTGGATGGCCTCCGTGTTTACGTTGGTGAATGCTAACATAATCCTTGCCTTCAGTTCATATTTGGTGTTAAAAAGAGTTTTGTTGGTCTCTTGCTCAACCGCACCCCACTCATAATAATCTAGGAAGTTGCAGTCTGGGGAGTTAGGTGGCCAGTTGTAAGGGGTGGTGTGGTCGTAGAAATTGTCTGACAGTCATGATTGGGTTCTCCTTTTTTTGTGGCATGGTGAAAAGTCCTGTTACCAGACATAGGGTCTTCTAGTAGTCCCTCGCTTGACCCAGGACAGCACTATCTCCTCAAGGCACTTGATGTAGGCTTTTGGGTTGAGTCTGAAACACTATAGAATTATGAATGAAGATATAACGTCGCCCTCGCTAGCGATCACTCCAAACACCTTCGCAATCGCCATTAGACTCATTCAATTCTTTCTAAATCTTCTGCACTGTCCTCAGATTGACAACCAAACACTCTGAAATGTTTGTACTGGAGTTACCGGTGCAAATGCCAAATAGTAGAGCATGCCGTTTCTGGCAGAGTGAATTGCGTCATGATGTTCTTTTTCTCACAGACGGTGCATAACTGAACCTACTGTGCTTTGCAGTCGACAAAATCAAAAACAAACAACGGACATGCACAAAATTAAAAATATAAATGGCGACAATTAACCCATCACACCCTGTAGAGCAGAGTTAGTATCACGAGTTATGCTTTGTTGCATCCTAGCAGTGTCTTATCCTGTTGACACTTCTGCATTTAAAAAAAAATCGGAGAAACTTTACCTTCCAGGACAAGCGACAATTGTAAAATTGATTCAGCATAAAAAAGGCCTCAAAACTTGACAAAAACAACCACTCTGCAGCCTACCGCGGAGTAGGGTTATTATCTCTCATTTGTGTGCCTACATTTGCGTAGAGTATGATTCAGTTTTGACTCTGTCCGTGGACCAGCTGGGGAAAAATACTGTGACATGCCCGGTCCCACGGGAGATCTGCCCGAAGATGCACCCTCCTATTGCACTAGAGATGAGGGGAGAACTGATGTCAGCGCAACTGACGGTTGAGGGTGATAGTTAATGTTTGTCCTCGGTGCTCAGGTTCCCCACATTAAACCCGACCTTGTGTCACATCTCAGTCGGAAGATCCACGGACACGATTCCTAGGAACAAAGTCATCGGCCGACACTCCAGTCAGCTATCCTTATCAGTAGCAATGATATCCGATAGACTGTCCTTTTCAGGATAACACTTCAACGACTACAATATATTTGTTTTTTTTTTAAGTGCAGGATAACTTTATTTTTGTCATTGTATTTTCTTTAACAAAAATAAAATTGGCAATATATATTTTTTTTACTCAAGTCTTCATTTTACTTGTTGTTATCTTCCGTCATCCAATATTTGTTTCCGGGCCAATATACCAACCTATAAGAGCATCACAAATCACCGGAAGTAAGCAGTAGTAAAAACAACAAAGTGGCGATCATCTCAGACCATAGAAACTTCCGGCCTTTCGCTTACAAGTTTTTGTCCCATAATATTGCAGCTAAACGTTTAAAATACATCTAATAAAAAGTAGATATATAAAATAAACAGATTAAATGCGTCTATAAAATGTTTTAGAAGAGTGTAACGAAGAGAAGGCGTCGTCGGTCCCCGTGAAAAGAATTCGCGTGGCAACATTTATTGTTTGTAGCCGTAAACAGAATTGATCGTGGTGAGATTCAAATCTGAGCCTCTCATTAACCAGTTGTCGTTGATTTATTCCAGTAAAGCAATACTCTTCAATAATCTACTCAACCCCAACGCACAACAGACAAGCCAGAATGTTGGAAGATTGACGCGATTTGCATTGGCCTATGCGAATCTAATCCAAACATCCAGATCGAGTACTTTGGGAAAGAATAAAAGAGCGAATGAAATTGAATCTGGGAGTTGGGGAGAAATGCATTCTTAACAGTGTCTCTAAAGACAGCCAGGGCGAGAAAGAAACTGAGACGAGCGACCGTGTGTTGTGGAGTAATTTCGCAGTATGGAGGCTTGTATGTGTACTAAATCGGGCCTAAAATAGGTTCGACGTACAAAACGTTAGGAACATGATATAATAGGTATTACGCAGAGTAATCTTGTTGTGGTCGCTGATACTTTCGTATTCGACTAACTGTCGTCCGACATCGACGCTATTTAGTAACTGCCCCACGCAGGCACAAGGCCTAATTTATTGTGGGGTTCCCGATCCCGTAGGCTCGGCCAAAAAATCCCCGTAGACCCCGCATAAACGGGATCGGGTCTGTCTACCTCCCCAAACAAAACTCTGCCCTTCGGAATAGCCTCGTCCGGGTTCCTCTCTGCCCGAAGGCAGAGAGTTCGACTGTCGTCCGACATCGACTAGTATTTAGTCACCCCCACCCCACGAAGGTATCATGTGGCACAAGGCCGGTTTAACGAGGTATCTCCGAGCCCGCGGGCTCGGCCAAAAATATACCCTTTGAACCCGTATAAACGGGTTCAGGGTCGGTTTACCTCCCTGAACGAGACTCCACCCTTCGGCGTAGCCTCGCTCGGGTTCCTCCCCGCCCGAAGGCAGGGAGTTCAACCACCCAGCAGGTCGTCCGACATCGACTGGTATTTAGTCATCCTCCTACGAGGGTATCATATGGCACAAGGCCTGTTTAACGTGGGATCTCCGAGCCCGTGGGATCTCCGAGCCCGTGAGCTCGGCCAAAAATATACCCTTTGAACCCGTATAAACGGGTTCAGGGTTGGTTTACCTCCCAGAACGAGACTCCGCCCTTCGGCGTAACCTCGTTCGGGTTCCTTCTCGCCCGAAGGCAAGAGAGTTCAACCGTTCAGCCGGTCGTCCGACATCGACTGACCGTCGTTTCTATTACTACTCCTACTTATATTAGATGAGAGAGTCTATTAACTATAGAATTGGTGTGTTTCACTATAACACCGTGTTTATTTCCTTTTGTCTTTTACTTTACTTTCTTTTTACATCAAAGAGTTACCATGCTATCATATATGGTTCTCCTGGTGTAGATTCTGTCCGAGTGGTAATACGGAGAAACACAATCTCTAGAGGTTGGTGGAGTTCATCTTATGACAATATCCATTCTCATCATAGATCTTGTGTAAAGATTGAAAGAAAAGCACAGAATTACTATATACAAAATTAATTTTTCTAATATTGTTCTGGTATGTAAAAATTTATGACAAAATGAAAAATATTTTTTTGGTGACGAGTTTCGTCCTTTAGGACTTCATCGGACTAAAGTGATGTTTACATTGATGCAACTACACACGTGAATGAAGGGGAGGGGACGTTGAAATTTTAAAATTCGAAATTTAATTTTTTAATGCGTTTGTGTATATAATCTATATACTTTCCCTTTGTTTATGTTTTTATCACTTTTATTATTTAAGTATGCCACATTGTAATAATAGAAGATGTGTCAAGAAAGGTGAAATACTGCGAGAACCTTAAGTTTACTTTCTATACGCTTTTGTTTTAGTAAATTGTTCTCAGTTTTAATTAAAGTAGCATTTCTTAAATCGATCTTCAGACTCATTATGGTGAGCAACTAATACACTGAATGAGTTTTGTAAAGGTTCTTTTTTGAGTTCATATAATCTCTTATTTAAATTGCTCGAGGTTCTTCCTATGTATTTCTTGTCGCTATTTGTCAAGTGAGTAGCCAGGGTCATATGCAAAATAACAGAAATGTCCAACAAACAGAATTAACAAAGTTTGCAATAAAAAGAAAAATGAACAGTGCAAAATAAAATATTGGGTTGGTGCATAATTATCAGGCGTTTTTAAACAATATTTATTATGAAAAAAGAAACATAACAATTCAAGAATAACCTTTTTAAATGATTATTACAGAGCGTATGATTATCGACACGAATTTTTATAACCTGAAATGAAATAATATTTTATTTTAAAAAAGTACACAAAACAGCAATTTTTATTAACAAATAACTCGCCTTCAAAAACGCCTGATAATTATGCACCAACCCAATAATTTCAAGTAAGCAATGTATACAAGGCAAATTAACGGTAATAAATTTACAAACTAAGTATTGGCACCGACACACAAAAGCATGTTCGGACAAGCCAAGTGCAGCATATATCACGATTACTATGGCAGATATTCGGACAATTGCTTAGTTCCACCAGTTCAGACCTTCACAACAATGGACCGTCATGTCATGTTCACGATGGCAAACTACCCTGATTCCCTTTGTGTTCTATTGATAAAAAATAGTTCCACTCAGAACTGTTACTCTGTGGAACAAACTCCCAATAGAATGATTCTCTGAAAACTACAATCTTTCTCTTTTTAACATCAAATCGTGAAATGAAAGTTATCCTGAACGGCCACTCGTCTAGATCCTTTCGTATTCTCACTGTTATTGATTGAGAAAGATTTCTCCTTCAAGTTCAAGCTTATTATTTTACTTTGCAATAACTACGCCTTGTATTGCTTTAGAAGTAGTTGTAACAAATTTTATGTAAGGCTTAGATAAATTATTTTCAATCGTATTTGTGATACAGTTGGTAGATAAAATAAGAGAATTTGATTCGTTTTGTTTGTCTTCTATTTTGAAATATTATTATGAGCCTTTTGTTTCCCATTGAATATGAAATAATTACAGTATCAGTGGAGCTTAAAGATATCTTCATAATATTCCGTCTCTTTTTGTAAATATTGAGGGTTACAAATTCTGAGTTCTCTTAAACAGAATCCGATAATTATTCCAGATTTTATTTTATTGTTATGTTAAGAATTGAAATTTATGGGGTCATTTGTATTAGTTGATTTGCGAAGAACACTTAATTTTAGATAATAGTTACTACGGTGTAACATAATATCTAGGAAAGAGAAAATGTTACTTGCTTTTGTTTCTTGTAATTTTTAATATTAATGCGGCATCATCAGTATATCAGAAATATGTTGATTGTTTAAATGAAATACTCTGGAAAGGACGAAATTCCCGAAACTCTCGGAAAATGCACGCTAAAATCCCACTCAAAGGCGAAGACAAATTTGTGTTATAAAAATGTTGCTAATCGTGAAATAGGATTGGTTGATGGTGAGTCAGTAGATTTTTATGATTTTAGCCATTGATAGGGAGAAGTTTATTTTTGATTATGTAAGATGCGTTTTATTTTTTGTAAGATTTAAGCATTTGTTTACAGGAACGTTGATGTAAACGGATTTGACATCTAAACTAGCACTGAGTTTATTTAAAAGTTATTAGTTTCAGTGTCCCTTCCTCTTTGTGCATCAACGTAAACATCACTTGAGTTCGGTGATGTCACAAAGAAAAGTTTTTTCTAATTTGTCATGAATTTTCCTAGCAGTGTTCTGGTATCTACAAATTTATATATCATTTTCACCCACAATATATATATATATATATATATATATATGGGGGGGGGCGTGCGTGCTTGTCTAAATCATCTTCAAGAAGCGAGAGCAAGATCTAAAAGCTCAGCCAATTTAACAGTAATCTCATCTCACAATCCTCACACTTGCTCCATATGTGGCCTCCTTTGTAAATCACTAGCGGGTCTTAAATGCCACAAGATTATCGCACAAATTTTCATAACTGAATCAATAAGCTGTCAGATCCTCATACGCCGAAACCGACGGGAGAGTCCATTATTATTATTATTATTATTATTATTATTATTATATATACAGAAGTATAGAGTGGTGATAAGTTGGAGGTTCAAGAGTTCAAATGTAAATGTCTTGGTGCATACGAGAGAGTTCATTAGTATGTGTGTGGGTGCATATACATACATATATATATATATATATATATATATATATGTGTGTGTGTGTGTGTGTGTGTGTGTATTCAGAAGTAGTATTTGCCTATTTAAATGGATGAAATAATGTAGGTTTTAGTATCAGTGCAGGATAGTGTGGACGTCTTAATCACTAGTGTAAATTTTAGGAGGTAAGCTAGTCTATGTTGTTTGTATCCTGGTCGGGACTGTTTCTGGTTGGTTGGTTTTTAATAGTCTTAAAGCAACAGAAATGTGGTTCTACAGAAGGATGATGAGAATACCATGTACCGAACATGTGAGTAACAATAACGTTTTAGATAAAATGGAAAATGAGGAAAGAGGACTTGGAAAATTTGATTCTCATAAGATAGATTGAAGGCAAGAGGAACAGAGGAAAAAGGCATATAACCTACCTACTGAGTTTGAGTAAATGGCTGGCATAGAAAGTTCTGCACACGGCACATGGGGGAGGAGGAGGAGGAGGAGGAAGAAGAAGAAGAAGAAGAAAACCAACAACTTTTTTAAAAACGTCATTATTTTTTTTTTTTTTTTTTACAAGCAAACCAGTCAATTTAACCAGTGCCAAATAATCGGGCTTTAGTCTCTTTCCCACTATCGTAATAAGAATAAAATGTACCTTCTCAGTAAATATGGCAATTGTTCGAATGAACTCTTCACTATGTTACTTAAACTTCATGAATTTAAGCGCAGTACTAGATTGGCGGCAAGGTCTCATCAATTGACAGTTGAATTGGCTAGTTGTAGCCATAAGTTCTGTGCTAACAGTTTCTTTTCTCGCACTTCTCGCTTGTGGAACTCTCTTCCGTCTCGATGCTTCCCAGTCAATTTCAAAAATTTAAATGTAATGTTAATCATTATCTACTGTCTTCTTGATTACTCTTCTATTGTTCCCGCTCATTAATAATGTTGGTCTTTTTTCTTATTCTTTCACCCTCAGTAATCCCTTATGTCTTAGTGGTTTTACTGCTTTGCATGGAATGAAATGATTAAAAAAAAATATTTTACATGATTGATATTTTAATGGAATGAATTATTTTTTTGCAAATGCTTTTATTTTTTTCATTTATTTCTTTTAGGGCTGCAATGACAATATTTCCACAGCGGACAGACGGGTTGCATGATTTTCATGTGTGGAATGCACAGATCATCAGATATGCTGGATATGCCATGCCGGATGGTTCATTTATTGGTGATCCATTCAGTGTGGAATTTACTGAGGTAGATATAAGAACAATGAGGCAAAGATTTTGCCTGCATTTATTTAAAAATGAACAGAAATAAAGATAGTTATTCTATGTTGTTATTCATGGTGGTGGATTTTGTTTAGCGGCATATCAACACCTCTGTGGGTTATTTAGTGCCGAAATCTAAATATTTTGTACGTAATTTTATACTTTCATGGTAAAGGTATGAATAGATATATTGTATATAAAATGTATTATTGGTATTTTTTTTTTAAATGTATTGCTGGTAATTTTACTATAAAAATGTATTTTTATTCTTTTTTAGCGTTGCACTGATTGTCATTTTCCTATAAAAAATGACCTATTTTTATTTGGAGGTTCAACGCTCCTCAAAATCTCAAATTACCCGATCAGAGACTTTGCTGCCGGATGTACTTTATTGCCATACTGTTGTAGCATACCTATGGACGATAATGAGTATGTCCTCATTCACATAAATAGAATAGTAAATACTGTATGTTGGTCTGCAGTCGGAGATCCGTCTCCGGCTGTGATGGTCAAACTCTTTACCTCCGGGCAGAGAGGATCCCCAGACGAGGTTATGTCAAAGGGCAGAGTCTCGTCTCGTTTCGGGAAACAGCTACCCGACCCCGTTTTATACGGGGTCTACGGGGAATTTTTGCCGAGCCTACGGGCTCGGATACCCCACATTAAATTCGGCCTTGTGCTACATCTAATCGCGTGGGGCGGTTGCTAGATATCCTGCAGTTGGAGATTCATTGTGGAATTCACTTGACTCAATTCTAGCAGTTGACAACTTCTGCGCACCGCTGTCGTATCTTATATGTGTTGTTCTTGTCCTAAGTATTGTCGTTCATTATCAACCTTCGTATGATTATTCTATTCAGTAACCTTCCTAGGTTGCAACACATACTCAGGATGAGTTGTTATTCATAAAATAATGACTATTTCAATTCTTGAAATGATTACTTGTTTGTAGCAACATCAGTAATAGACAATTCTGAAAGTATTATACGGGCATTCCGATAATATCATAAGATAGAGCAAGTTTTTGGCTATTTTCGCAAATAGTCATCACCCCTTACTATGCATTTTTATTAGAGCTCTTCTGTTTGTGACTTGATAGCTGAAAAGCATTACGCACAAGTTAACTATGAAGTTGCTTCATTGAATTTTCTTGGATTTCTTCAACGTCTTGAAATCTTCTCCCTTTCAAGTGAGATTTGATTTTTGGAAACATTTGTAAGGGGCAAGACCTAGGGAATATGGTGGTTGTTGGATCTGTAGAATGCTGTCCTTAGCCAACAACTGCTGCACATGCCATACTACTAAATAACATTATTAACTAAAAATAAGAACTAGACGATATCCCTAGACATGAGCAGTAGAACGAGAACAGTTTACACCCGTAGATTAAATAAAGGGTTCAGTTCAGTATTGCTTGAAGGTTATACACCTGAGGAACAGTATTAAATAAAAATAAGAACTAGACGATATCCCTAGACATGATCAGTAAAACGAGATTCAGTTCAGACAACACTAAGTTACCCAGATCAATATACTCCCGAGGAAGGACGGAGGGCATAATGACCAAAATGTTATGATAACAATAAAGATGAGGACAATCGTCTGAATATAAATAGTGTAAATAATATATAAACCAATTGATTTTCTTTTTCTTTTTAGTTCTGTGAAAAACTTGGTTGGAAAGGAAAAGGTGGCCATTTTGATATTCTTCCTGTTGTATTGTCTGCCAACGGAGAAGACCCGGAAATGTTCGAATTGCCTGAAGAATTAATTCTTGAAGTGAAACTTGAACATCCTGTGTATGTATATTCCATAATAAACTCAGATGTTAGCTCTTTAATAAATCATGTCTACCGCTAGTCTTGTATCCTAAAATGGAAACACATTACCAGATTTTAGTGAAAGTATAAGGTTGAGTTAATTTTTTCTTACTATTGTTTACCAAATACAAAGCCCAAGAGACACTCGAGGTAGAGGGTTACTAAATGAGTTTGTCATAAAGACGAACCAGGAAAGAGTAATATCCAGATGAGATTTCTATGCCGCTTATTTGTCTCATCCTTCAATTTTACTGTAACCCATCTTAATTCACCAAGAAAAAACATGTACATATTAAGATCTCCAATCAATTAAGAAGCCATAAGAGCCTTGCTTAGTATAACATCCGGGTATTTATTATTCTTATTATTATTGAGTGAGAGTTCAACATGCAAAGTGTTGGTGGAGTGTACATATATTGGGTTGGTGCTTAATTATTATGCGTTTTTGTAGGCGAGTTATTTGTTAATAAAAATTGCTGTTTTGTTTACTTTTTTTTAATAAAAATATTATTTTATTTTCAGGTTATAAAAATACGTGTCGATAATCATACGCTCCAGAATAATCATTAAAAAATGTTATTGTTGAATTGTTATGTTTCTTTTTACAGAATAGATATTGTTTTAAAACGCCTGATAATTATGCACCAACCAAATATAATCAGGACAGCCAGTCTTATAAGTGTATTATTATTATTATTATTATTATTTTGATTTCTGTCATATATTCATTTCTTTTCAGGATCCCAACATAAGATCTAAAGTCAAAAATAGCATCATGATATTTTCCACTAAGCATTAAAAAAAAAAAAAATAGACAACCTAAGCTCACACACATTTGCATAAATAAATAAAACCCTTCATAAGGTGTGAGCTGTACTTATGAATACAGTGTTTTGTATTTCTTTAAGGCATGGGCTACCAGGAATCCCTTCAATGAGTATCGGAAGCTTTTCTAATCAATCCGAGGGCTCCAACTACAAATGGAATTATTGATGTCCTCATGTGCCACATTTTTTAGATTTCCACCTGAAGATCCTTGTATTTTGATAGTTTTTTGAAAATCTTCAAAGATACATTACAGTCTGCACGGCCTGCCATATCAATAAGAAAGCACATTTTGTTCTTGTGATCTTTGATTACTATGTATGGGCGATTAGCTTTGATTGTTCTGTCTATGTGCATTATAAAAATATCATTATTATTATTATCGAGTGAGAGTATAACATGCCAACAAAGTTTTGGCAGAGTGCAAATATACAAAACCCAATATATGCATCAGGACAACCAGTCATTTATGGGTATTATTATTATTATTATTATTATCATCATTATCATCATCATCATCATCATCATTATTATTATCATCATCACCATTATTATTATTATCAACATTATCATCATCATTATTAATTATCATCATCATCATCATATGCATCAGGACAACCAGTCATTTATGGGTATTATTATTATTATTATTATTATCATCATCATTATTATTATTATCATCATTATCATCATCATCATCATCATCATTATTATTATCATCATCATCATCATCATCACCATTATTATTATTATCATCATTATCATCATCATCATCATTATTATTATCATCATTATCATCATCATCATCATCACCATTATTATTATTATCATCATTATCATCATCATTATTATTATTATTATTATGAAACAGGTGATAAATATCGAATTATTCATTTAAATATATGTTAGTCTAAAGATGTTCAGGTTTGGCGTGTTTAAAGTGTATTCAAAAATTTGAAATTTAATATTTTCCAGGTATCCTTGGTTTGCTGAAATGAACTTAAAGTGGTATGTCGTTGCCGCTATCTCCAATATGCTGTTTGACTGTGGGGGTCTGGAATTTACAGCTGCCCCCTTCACTGGTTGGCTAATGGACACAGAAATTGGTACCCGAAATCTCTGCGACCCCAACCGCTATAATATTCTTCCGGTACGTAGCAACAAATAAAATTGGATGTAATAATTAAAATTAATATAAATTATTAATGAGGTTTATAATAAAAACTAAATAAAAATCAGTTAAACTATATACCCAAAACATATATTTGCAAAAAAAATTAATTTAACATTCTCAGCGTCCACTCTCCTTCGTGTTAATGTGCAATCTCATCAATGTAAACATCACTTTAGTCTGATGAAGTCATAAATAATGAAATGCATCAAACGTAAATTTTTTTTTCATAAAACCCGCTTGTATATTAATCATAGAGACTCATAGATCATGACACTTTCAATGGACCTCCCTCTGTAATTTATATTTATTTGTTCTTAAATGAAATATACATGCACACATAATATATATATATATATATATATATATATATATATATATATATATATATATATGTGTGTGTGTGTGTGTGTGTGTGTGTGTAAAAAGTGTATATAAATAAATATATATATATGTATAATTATTTATATGTTATATGCGCGGTACTTATTAGAAAGCGCTCAATATCAGAGATAGAGCTAACATATTTGGTTGGATAGATGTGAGTTTGTGACCCTGGGTTTCACGCTTTAGCGATCGTTAGACAAACAAATACATATGTTATTGTGTATATATACATATATATAGCTTTAGCGATCGTCATTATTGTGTATATATATACATATATATAGCTTTAGCGATCGTCAGACAAACAAATACATGTTATTGTGTATATATATATATATATATATATATATATATATGTGTGTGTGTGTGTATATACACAATAACATATGTATTTTTCTTTTCCTCAGTAATTTTATAATTTTAAACTTAATAGAGATTAAATTTAGATTTTAAAATGGTTAATTTTTAAATTTAAATTTTAATTTCAAATTTTATTGTATAATTTAATCCTTATTAGTTAGAATAAATTCTATTTTAGTCTAACCCCAACTTTAAAGCATTTAATAGTTATTATGACCTTAGTTCGTTGTCAAGTTTTTTGAATTCTCCTATACTTGTATTTTGATTGGTCATTCAGGCTTATGTAACAGGGTTTCCCCTTGCGAGAGGTGGGTAATTGATTTGAACCTTTTAAAACACCTTATTCTACATTCAACATCATCAATTCATAAGACACCAGAGGTGTTGAAACAAAATGGCTATTTTTGTAGTGATTTTATAACATATTTATGTTATAATTTTAAAATAAATAATTATATATATATATATATATATATATATATATATATATATATATATATGTTATGGTCCGGTTCCTTGTACTACGGTGATAGTCCAAGGTAGAACCAATAAAGAAGAACTCGAATACGGGTATGGAATAACACAGATATATTACAAACAGGAATATATACAGAGAGGTAGAAAGTATTAGTACGAACAATCAGGTTTAGTAGTAATTGTCTGAACGCGACTCTGTTTCGGACTGCCTCTGACTCGACTGACTGACTCGCTCTGACTGACTGACAGACTCCTGGTGGACTTCACTCCAGACTTCAGACTGAACTCCAGACCTCAGACGGAACTCCCTGCTTCCTCTTGAGGCGCAGTATCTATTACGTATGGAATAGTCCATTATGGGTAAGGTCCCATAACAACACCATTTTGTAATTGGTAGGGATTATTTCAAAGAGGACTTTAATCCAATGAGAGCTCAATGTAAGTTAGAGAATAATTTATAATGATAAATTAATTGTTATATTCATCTCTTCAGACTGAATTTCTTAAAAATATTCGGTATGAAGAGATGAATATAACAATATTCACGAAATAAATTATAACTGATATGGATTTTTAAGGTGTTTTCTTAATTTATCATTATATATATATATATATATATATATATATATATATATATATATATATATATATATTAAATCAATAACAACAGTCAAACTAAGTATAAAATTATGAGAATTTAACGCATTGCAAAGTGAGCAGAATTTTTATCAAGAAAGGGCTCGACAGAAAACTAGACCAAAAGTAGTCAATAAATTAATAAAAGTTAAATTGACTTATCTCTCAACCAATTTCAAAGTTTTGCAGTATTCTGTGAAACTTTGAAGTCAATCAAGATTATGTTAATATTAAATTAAATTATATATATATATATATATATATATATATATATATATATATATATATATATATATAGTCTTAAGATGTGGTATATTTATGGGATAAAGTGCTCATTATCAGAGATAGAGCGTGTGTAAATATAAAAGTGAACATAGACGTCAACACTAGATTGCATGCTAGGTTTCATGCTAGCCTGACGATTGCATCTAGCATGAAACAGACTGTCACCTCAAAGTATTGACTTTATATATATATATATATATATATATATATATATATATATATATAAACTGAATGGGTAAATATAGGTAGGTGTACGATCACTGCTTACATACAAATACATATAAATACTTTATAGTGTAAGAAAAAAAATATATAAAGAAATATACATAATACCTTACATTACTTGAACAACTATGAGTTTCATACCGAAGCAATTATCAAGTGCTAGAATTATTAATAATTATTATTATTATGTATCTCTGACTGATGGCAAATCGGTCGGCTTTCGAGCCCGGCTTGAAACAATCAGATGTCTAGACTCACTGATGAGTTTTTCTGACTCACATATCTGGTATTCTGCAAAATCACTAACTTTAACTTAATTAATTTATTGACTTATATTTGAGAAATATCTGGACAGCTAATATATTTCGTGTCAAAGTTGGATGTCCAATCTTTTTGCCAACTAAACCCCGGAATACATGACTAATTGTCACAAAATGTAGAAAAGAAAATAGAGTCTCTAATAACAGGCAGGTGCTGTATCTGCATCATTCTGGCATTCCTACATTGTAAAGGCGAAACCACTACATTCTGATGATATCATTGGGTACAGCTGAGGCATCTTGGGTTAGTTATAGTGATTCTTTGGCCCTGGAATTATGATCGACCCCAGGGTCATCTTTCATAAATTATTTGTTTTTTCTGTGGATACGTACATGAATAAAATTACATAAAGACTTGTATGTTTCAGTTGGTAGCTGAAAAATTGAACTTGGATATGAGAAAAGCGGCAACCCAGTGGAAAGATAAGGCAGCCATAGAAGTCAATCTAGCAGTAATCCACAGTTTTCATGTAAGTATTTTAACTTCCAGGACGTGACAATATCATTACTCCCACGCAAATCCATTCTATGTAAATCATCCGGTTCACATTCCTCCCCAGTTTTTTTGAACAGGAGTAGAGGTTTATCCTTTGTTTCCTGTTTAGGATTGGGTTTCTGTTTCCTTTTAAAGCCTGCTTTATACTCCTAACGCTTGTCCTTTCCTATGCTAATATAGGTACACATGGTAACCCTCTACCTTGAGTGGCTCTTGGAGTCTGTATTTGGTGAACATTAGTAAAAAAGATTATCTATCTACTTATTAATATACGTGTAGATGTATGTGCAAACATGTCAAAAGTCAAGTGCCATATGTAATACACACTTGCTGGGTATACTTCTTTCAATTCATGACTGATTAGGCAGAAGATTTACCCACAATAGGCTGCCACTCCTTGCCACAGGAGACTGGTTGCCAACAAAGACTATAGGACCCAGTCTGTTCTGCTATTTAGAAGAGATGGATTCATATATTTCTAAAGGATATTTACACATAAGTGAATGCAACTAACCTGATTGGAATTCGAAATCTGCTCTCTGATTTCTCATTTCAAGTTAACAATAACACCACCACACATCCTGTAAGCATGTACACATATATCAATACTCATGGAAGGCCTTCCTATGAACTAATGGTTGATGAGTTAGTGCGTCATCACTAATATGTAATAAGTTCGATCATCACTGAGTGTCCTTTCTATCAGAACTAAGTTATTTACCATTTTAATACTTCAAGCATATCCATATTTTAATACTGCAAGCATATCCATATATATTTTATTCATACTTTTTTGCATACATGTTGGTATTTAAATATATATATATATGTGTGTGTGTGTGTGTGTGTGTGTGTGTGTGTGTGTGTGTGTGTGTGTGTGTGTGTGTTTAGGCAGCATATCTTTATTCAAGCGTGTTTGGTTGAATAATCTAGATATATGTCTATTTATTTTATTTTAATCCCCCCTAATTCACGAACCAATTTCTTAGAGTTATTAGAAAACTGAGTAAGAAAGACGCTATAGTTTTGGTTATTTCTTTTATTTTCCCAAGTACTTTCAATCTCATCCAAGATCATCTTCAGGGGTGAATATATATATATATATATATATATATATATATCATCATCATCATCATCATCATCATCCACAGCTCCTCAGTGTGGTTAGACATTTAATCGCTTCATGTCGGGACCAGTTGGAGATTCTAACTCCTTGGCTATTGACACCTGGCAGAGAGAAATGTGAATTTTTTACGTATTTATTTTTTCATTAACATGCCAGTGACCTAGAGAACTCAATCCAATTTGGAGAGTCTTGCATTATCAACAGTAATAGTGACTGTTTACAAATTTGCACTTTTCTCCCCACACTGATTGACTGATTTAATTATTTTTGGGGAAGTTAATAATATCATCCACAGACAGATTGTTTTGCAGTATCACAGCTCCTCATTGTGACTAGACAACCAATTGCTTCAAGCTGGGGCCGAAACCCGACTGATTTGGCATCAGTCGGAGATTCTAACACCTAGGCTATCGACGCCCAGCAGAGAGAAAGGCAATTGTTTTATGTATGTCTTTATCCATTGTGAGTTTGTGCCACAAGGTCAGATGGTCAATCAGCAAATCTGCAAAGAGTTCCTGTGGCGTTTGTTTCGCTCAGTGCACAAAAAGAGATAAGAGTTGTGGAAGGACAAATCGTGGTTGATTCAACACAACAATGCACCTGCTGACAAAGGCCTGTGCATCCAGCAGTTACTGACCAAGTAGAATATCATCATACTGGATCAATCACACCATTCGCCTGACCTTGCTCCGTGATGCTTTTTTTTCGTTTCCTCATCCTCAAAGGGAACATCAAGAGTACCCGTTTTGGAGACCTGGAAACCATCAAAAGGGTAGTAATGATAGAGCAGAAAGTCATCCAAGAAGACTCCTCCCAGAAGTGCATAGAAGTGTGGCAGAGAAGGACGGAAAAGTGCATTAGACTCAATGGGGGTGGGGGTACTTTGAAGGGGAAAACATGTAATTTGTTGTTTGGGATTGAAATAAATTGTTTGTGACAACAGTTTCGTTACTTTTGAGACAGACCACGTATATATTAATATTTAGGTGTACATACAGTAATATTGCATATATATATATATATATATATATATATATATATATATATATATATATATATATATATATATTGACTTGTTATTTGTTTATATATATATGTGTGTGTGTGTGTGTGTGTGTGTATGTATGTATGTCTGTATGTGTATTTAAATATAGAAATATAGAGATACATAGATTTCATGGATTTTTAATCCCCCTGCTGATTTTTATTGAACTTTATATATAAAGAGGACCCCTCCCAGGGACCCCTCCCAGGGACCCCTCCCAGGGACCACTCAATATTTTTGTGCTTCCGAAAAATGTTGTGTGTTGCAGAAGCTCTAATGAATGATAATCTGAAAAAATTATTCCTCAACCCCAGAAATTTTACACATTTTTTTTTTTTTTACAAGGACCAGTAAATTCAGGTAGAGTCTAAAAAATATTTATAGCTTACTACTTACATCAAACACTTACTTTATATTATGACACTATAGATCAGTGGTTCACAAACTTTTTTCTCTGGGACGCATTTTCGGAATGAAAATTTGATCGCCCCTCACCAAATTTTATGTGATAAAAAGTACATTTAAAAATAAAAAAAAAAACAGAGAGAGGGTTCATGGGAGGTAACTGTGGATTCAAAGTCAGAACATTATCATTGATAACTCTCTTCTCCAATTTGCGGACTCTAGTTAATACATTCTTAATAGTTGTTATAATGTAAAAAATATTAAAATCATAAAATCGATTAATAATTATTTATAACTATTTACGAAGAAATTAGTTTTTCAGGTTGGATTTATTAGGTTGAATCATGAATGATTTCTGGGTTTTTTGGGGGGGGATTCTATCAACTTTATTCATCAAAATAATACAATTGTTTTTCAAAAATGGAAATTACTTATGACTCAACATTATGCTTATTCATGATCAACACAAATGTAGTGCCTTGGTGGGTGGGTGAGCATTTCTGAAATAAAAGAAACTTTTTTTTTAACCAAGCATCATCTCTTTTAACTTAGAGAAATCTGATAAAAATTTTTCTTTTTCTATGTGCCACGTCCCTTCAGGACATCTTGACTCTCCACAATTTTTTATCACATGTGGCACTTAGCAGTTTTTACTCCCTTTTTCTAAGCTCATCAGGTAGGTGTCTCGCTGTCTTCCTCTATCTCTCTTCTCTTCAATATACCTTGTGAGTGTTAAGTTTTCCAAGCTTTCCTTCCTAATTATGTGTCCAATCAAATTCAGTGTCTTTTCCTGATTTTGTTCTTTCTGATGCCCATTTCGTTAACATTTTCTTGTGGCTTAATTACTCCAGACATAGAATTCTCAGTATCCTTCTGTAGAACCATATTTCTGCTGCTTCTAGTTTTTTTCTCATCATTGGGATATCTAAACACAGATATTTCCCCCATTTTGCTCTTGCGCAGTTTTTTTTTAAAATTTGGGCCAAGTTCCAAAAATGCAGTTCAATCATTATAGGATATTTTGCCAAAAAAATTGTCATATTTGAGTAAATCTTATAATTTTGCTTTCAACACAATTCTCCATTCTACAGAAAGCAAAGATGACCATGACTGACCACCACACAGCTACAGAAGCCTTTCAGCAACACTGGGAAACAGAATATCGTGTGCGAGGTGGATGTCCAGCAGACTGGGTGTGGATGGTACCACCTACTGGTGGAAGTCTCACGCCAGTTTTTCATCAGGAAATGCTTAATTATCATCTGAAGCCTTCAATTGAGTACCAGGTACTGTACATGTTTAGTCATACTTTATCCATCTCAACCAAAATCGCTTGCATCATGTACAGATATGTAGACAGTGTAGAGGTTATCAGCACAGAAAGTGAAATCACCGAGCCAAATTCAAATTCCAGTTGATTCTGTTTCATTCATTTTGCACAAATAGTCTTGGAAAAGGTATGAATCCATCTTATTCCAGTTATAGATTAAATAACAGAACAGACTGGCGTCCCTTGCTTGGATTTGCTAGAAAAAGGAAAACACTGAACTCAAACCTGAGAAAAGTTTTTTGTGCTATAGTGTGCTTCATTTCTTTGTTATCAGTTCTTCTGAAAAGTGTGTCTGGCGCTACACAATCCATATCCAAGATAACCAAAATCATATATGTGAACAGTCTAGCAGATCAGTTCTGTTGGTCTCTTTCAAAATCAACAGATGTGTCCACTATATATATATATATATATATATATATATATATATGTGTGTGTGTATGTGTGTGTGTGTGTGTGTGTGTGTGTGTGTGTGTGTGTGTGTGTGTGTGTGTGTGTGTAAAAAAATATAGAAAATAGGAGAAAGAACTCGTTAGGTAAATAATCCAAAGTTCTTTAGTATTTTGTTTTAAAAAATAGTACTCGATAAAAAAAGTAGAGCATAAATATAATTATTTATTTAAAAATATGATTCCAACGCTACATAAGAGTTCTCATGTTTCAAAACAAGAGCTGAAAAAACGTCAATATAATTATTTGAATTAAATTGAATTAAAGTACTAAGCTCTATTCCATCTTCAAGCGAAATTTTTTTAAAAATAATACATATATATATATATATATATATATATATATATATATATATATATATATATATATATATTCCAAATCAGTATCACCTCTTGCAAGGCCTAAAGACACTAAAACACAAGCGTGGGAAAGAATTAAGAACAGAAATAATATAAAATAATGAATGGAAAGAGGAAAAAGTAATAATCGAGAGGACAGTAGATAGTGATTGACATTGTATTTTAATTTTTGCAGATTATAGTTGGCTGGAAAGTGTGGAGCTGGAAGGGAGTTCTACAAGCAAGAAGTGCAAGAAAAGAACCTGTTAGCATAGAACTTGTGGTTACATCTAGACAGCTCAATTTTAAATTGATGAGATCTCAAAGCCAGTCTAGTACTGCACTTAAATTCATGAAATCTAGATACTATATTGAAGAGCTCATTCGAACAATTAACATGAAGCATTTATAGAAAAGGCACAAAGAAGCAATCTTAGACTGGGGGCGGTAAGTGACTGAAGCCGAGCTGCCAGATCAGGATCAATAATATTGCTGATTCTTATATATATATATATATATATATATATATATATATATATATATATATGTGGTGATTACCCCATCTTACTCTGATGAGAGCTGCCTCCTTACTCTTCATATCACTTGTGATGGCTTTTGTATCATTTCAGAGTCCATGGCCTCTAAAATAACTCTTGAGACCAACATTTAATTTAATAGGTATCATGTATATATGACAAATAAACTCTGTATCCTTAATTGGGTTGATTGGATCTGCATGGCCTACAACTCACCTGTGTACCACCATGTGTCTCTTCAGTCCAGATGATGATCTGTAAAACTTGTTGCATACTCAGGTATTGTCAGCAGGACGATTAGGTAGATTGGCATAGTTGACTTGTCATGATAGCCTTTCAGATGGTTTACATAACCTGCCTTTGACAACAGTATGTGCTAACACACACCACATTTCCAAGACTTCATATTAATTGATAAGTCAAAGTGAGAGCCTTTTCATAGATCACGCTTGAAGTGAGCATTTCAGAAACATTCCCCCTCAAAGGCATTGCATCCCTCTTTTATAAAGAGCCCCCACTCTATACAATTTAATGTCAGTTCATTCCAATGCTGCACATCTATGTGCAATGTATTCAGATTATCCTTTTTAATTATCTTTAAATCCCTTTTCGTTTTGTTGTGAAAGCTTTCATGCCATCATTCATCTTGTAGAAAAGTTGTTTGGAACCCTGTTATCCCCCATTCTTACAACATGTCCTGGCCATCATATCTAGATGAGAATTTTTATTCCTGTCTTCAGTTAACCATAGAAAAGTTGTTTGAGAATCCCATTGTACCCCATTCTCACGTGTTCTGGTCATCGCATCTTGCTGAGGATTGTTATTGTTTCAATGTCATTGCATTCAGATATTTGGAGGAAAACAGTATCTGAAATCAAAATTATATTATTGCCTCTATCTGATCAAACTCTATTTTCCAATTTACCAAATGCAACACTTGCCTTCTGAACGTGTGAAAAAATCTCAGCATCCAAGGTACTTTTGATATAATACTTCCAAGATATGGGAAAGTGTCAACAACCTTCAGCATGTTATTTTTCACAACTATTGTTGGCTCTTTGTAGGGCACACCAGATGAAGGGGCGAACATCAAATTTATCTTCCTCAGGCTCATCCTCGGTCCAAAAGCCTCACAAGCTGTAAAGAAGTGATCCATTATGAGTTGCAAATCTTCCAAGTATTCTACAAATTCTGTGCCATCAACCAACAGCACATCTTGAATCAGGCACTCAAAGTTCTTGAATTTGGTGTTGAACCTTCTGAGATTAAACACTCTTCCCAATGTTCAAAAACTTCAAGGAATCACCTGCGTCACAATCCTCGAAAGACATGTGACAAGAACATGGCAAAATAGATTAAGAAATGTTTGTCCAAGAATGCCACACCATTGTCCACTGTAATCTCATCTGGAAGTGAGCCATTGAATGTGAGACAGGCCTTCATATCAATATGTGGCTGTTTCACTAAGTTGACAAGAGCGTGAGTGTAACCAATCACAATTTATGGTACCAAAGCAATAGTCAAATTCACAAAAACATGGTACTATGGTACACTTGCTGTTCAATGCATTTCTCCTGCAGCTGTCTTACTGAGAAACACATATCCATAGTATCCCTGCCCCCACTTGAAAATCACACTGTCCTTCTGAATATCTAAAGGGTATATGTTGTTTAGTAGCCTGTTCAACAAGAACCTGTCAAAGATTGTCAGTATATTAGTTTTTTAAAAAGGCCTTCAGTTATTATTATTATTAATAATATTGTTTCTTCTCCTTATTATTTCTTATTATTATTATTATTATCTTATTATTTTTTCTTATTGCTATTCTCCTTATGATTTCCTCTTCTTCTTCTTCTTCTTCTTCTTCTTCTTCTTATTATTATTATTATTATTATTATTATTATTATTTCTTTGTAGCCAAATCTTTTAACAAGTCATATCTGGAAAAATCCTGAAAATATAAAACGTTTTTCAAAGAAAAAACATAGTGAAATCAACTTTTCCATTCTGGTCAAGTAAGTTTTTCTCTAACTTATTCTATTATAATTACTACTTCCGACAGGTTTGGCACAAGGCCAAAAGTATGGGGCACAAAGTGAAGATTGAACTCAGTTCAGTTGTGATCTATTCTTACTAAGTGCTTCTTTAAAGTGACCTTGTGCCAGATTAAACTAAGTATAATTAACAACTGGGTTGCTTTGTCATATAGTAAAATTTAACAAGCTTGTCCCTTATGACTGCAATGAGTTTGATCCGTACTGGGTGCCATACTCTTGCAGATTTGTGCTTAATAATTACAATATCATATAATCTTTAGTTTGGTATATAATGTGCTATTTCATCCAGGATGACAGATTTCTTTAAATGTTTTATATTAGGTTGGTTGATTTTTACATGACAATCCTTGTATTGTTTATTGATGTACAACTATTCAATAATTAATTTAAAATTAATATTATTATTTATCATTAAGATAGTAAATTAATTTATGTAATAAATTATAATCTTTATATATTTATATATATATATATATATATATATATATATATATATAGTAATCCATTGAGCCCAGAATAATCTTTAACAAAATGCAGAAAGCACTCCTATTCGGGACTCATCAACAGTGCAGATCCACTACTGAGAATTGAACCTGGACCATTTCAATACAACATAAATCTCATACCAACTGTACCATGGGTCTCGGTGATGAAGAAGACACAAACTAGACTCGATATAGCACTGCTACTCACTCAGTTCCACAGCGATACTCATCCAAGTATACAGATAACCTTGGAACAGTGCCCCAAGAGCAACGTCTACTTACTGACCCTTAGCTACTCTTCATGAGCATTAACTGGGTAAAGCAATGATATACAGAGAAGAAATTTGGTGGGGGATTTTGTGTAATCATATATAGTAATTCATCAAGCCTAGGATAATCTTCAACAGAATGCAGAAAGCACTGGACGGCTGTAGTCTATGGAAGTAAATCCAGGCAGAAAACCTGGAATGGAACCCAGAATGTGGTTGGCTGTCAACACTGACAATTTTTCTTGGCAAATCCTGCAGCCAATTCATCTCCAAATATAATGCCCAGTATTCCTTTGGATCTTACTTTCATGGCCATGGGTGGGGGATGTTGTCTTAGCAGTGTATGTCTGCACTCTAGTGAGGTCACTCCAGTTTCCCCACCAAACAAATGAATTTTGACCAAACAGGGTGCTACATTTATCTTGCAAGATAAACAAATGCCTACTACTAATTTGTTTTAGCATTTATGTGAATTTTTAAACTTCAGAGTCTCATAATAACACATGCTACCATCCCCTCGTTAACTTAATTCAACTCTTGAACTTGATTTAATCTTTTCTCATAACCAATTTTTAAATTAAATATTTTGATCTCTCATTTTTTTTTCTAGGGTTGCCTTTTTTGCTGCTCTGATATACCGAAAGATTCTTGAGAAGAGAATTCCTTGCACAGTTCTCTATGCTTCTGAAACAGGAACTGCACAACGGTTTGCAGAACAATTGGCCCGCAACTTCCGGCTTGTTTTTAATACAAAAGTAATATTGTGTTTCACATTTTTTATGTTTTTTTTTCAGTGAATCAAATGTGGCCTTTTGACCCTTCACATATCGTTTTAATCTCTCTCTTGCACACACACACTCTCCTTCACTCTCTCTCTCTTTATTTCCCCTACATTTTTTTCTTGTTATAAAGAAATAAATATGAAAACAATTTTTTATTCATAAATTTTTGAACATTTACTAAATTATTAAAATATATGAACCAAATATAAGGAAATCATTATTATTTACCATTTTATAAATTTTGAATCACTTGGCAATTTGCCAATGTCTTGACAATCATTCCAATAAACAATCTAATCAATAAATAGTGTTTATTATTTTTGTTGTCATTTCTCAAGAACAAAAAAGAAATCTATAAGTTCACTTTCATCATATGTTCAGGTTTTATTACAATTCTAATCATCACTTTTCAAAAACAATAAACATTGTCAAGGAGTGTAGGTAGTTAAAATAATAGCGGTATCAAGGAAAAATCCATCCTTTTAACACTCCGCGTTTTTGCCTGCATGAAAGTCCATGTTTGCAAAACCTTTAGTATTCTAAAGACAGAAAAAAAAAGGAAAAAATACCCTTCAGACTTCATAAAGATCCTTACTAAAAATAACGATGCGCACTAATAATCATCTTATATCCATAAGTTGGTTATTAGAGCTGTATGAAGATTATTGCTTCAACGATTAGTATTTAATGAGCCATGCTCCAAAATAATAGATACAAACATTATCTAGCAAAAATATTCTTTGAACATTATCTGCTTGTACAATCACCAAAGTTAAGCAACACTGAGTCTGATCAGTACCTAGATGGGTGACCGCTTGGGAATAGTAGGTAGAGTAAGCTTGAATGTTCGGATGGTGTAATAGATAACAGCTTGGAATTGGAAATTGGAGAGCCAAGTTCCAATTCCAGTCGTGTTTGCTATATTCGCTTATGCACAAACACCCTTGGGATAGGTATGAATCCATCTCTTCTCCCCCACCTATGGGTTAATTATTAAGATTTGTATCAGTAAATCATTATTATCTCAAAAACAAAAAATATTCTTACAATATAAAAATATTTTAAATAACCTGCAAAAGGTTGATAAGCCGTAAAAAAAAACAATCAATCCTGCAAAGATTTGAAACTGGTTAAAACAAATGATGGAAGCGATATTATTTGTCAATGAAAGTAATTTTTAATTTTTTAAGTTTTAAAATGTTCCAAAGAAACTTGTCTACATTATTTCTTTATCTACAATGCAATATGATGTTTCAAATCATTTCTCTATACTTGTGGCTTTATCCTAGAAACTAAACGTTGTAAAAGCTACAGTATTTACATTAGTCGGACTATTGTCCTCATCTTTGTCGCCATATTTGTCACAACGTTTCGGCCGTTGTACACTCCGGCCTTCTTCAGGTGGTTGGAATTTCGAACTGAACCCTTTATTTCGATCACTGGGGTAGACTGTTCTAATTCCACGTTGTAAAAGCTAATATTTGAACTAAGAAGCGTTGATACTATATACAGTAAATCTTCTTTGGAATTAACTAATACCAATATCATCGGTTTTAGATTTCACAGTACTGAAGTCGTACAAAATTTTGCGAAATTCATTTAACTAGAGTTATGTCCCTTCGATGAGTTAAAATTATTTCCCTTTGATCATCGTCATTATTTGCATGGAAACGATGTTAGTTAAAGTAAACGGTACAACTTTGCAATTCTGAATCAATAAAATATCAGTTAATTTTCATAATAAAACAATACATTATTTAAGTCTTTTGCCAATGAATTATATTTCTTTATTCCAGTCCAATTTGCTTCAGTATTTAAAGAACTGGGCAGACTGGAAAAAGTCAAAATCAAATTAAATGCTGGTGGGTTTTGCCATTAATAGCAGTAACCAAGAGCAATGATGTCAGATTAGTAGTTTATATGCGAAAAGCTAACACTTCCATAAAAAAAAATCACTACTCTATACCCAAACTTCAGGAGTTACTTGAAAAGTACAATGGTTTTACAGTATTTAGCAAAATTGACTTGAAACATGGATGTCATCAGATTGAATTGGATTAGACATGTCATTACTACCTTTATTACTCATATTAGCTTGCTTTGTTATAAAAGGTTGGTATAAGGAGCTACCTTTGAAAAATATCAAAACTGCATAAGTGATTTGTTCAAATATCTCCCAAAAAGTGAATAATGTTTCACTATTTAAAAGTAAATAATAAATTTTTTATGACCTTCAATTGATGTTCACTCTCTATAAATTTTTGGTACCTTTTGCCAGGATCCAATTTTTGTACAAAGATTTTGTTAACTGTAGATTAAGAATCTTCTTAAGAGTTAGATAATATGCAAAGCAATACACACACTGTAGATATGTACACATAAAGAATATTTTCAGAAACTAAACACTAATATTTTTTTTATTTTGTTTTCAGTTAGTCTGTATGGATTCCTACAAGATTGAGAATTTACAATCAGAAAAACTGGTGTTGGTTGTAACCAGCACTTTTGGGAGTGGGCAGTCCCCTGAAAATGGAAGGGTAAGTTGATAGCAAAAAACATCCAATAAGATCAGAAATACTAACTTGGGTGAATGAAACGGGTCAAGCTAACAATTTTTCAACACCATTTAGTATATTTATATATGTGTATAAAATCTATATATGTGTGTAAAGTCTGTCTATATTTCTGAGAGAAGGTATTATAATTATTTACACTATTTAAATTGTTCGGACTGTTGTCACGACATTTCAGTTATTGTATGCTCTGGCCTTCTTCAGGAATTGTCTATATTTCTGAAATGAGGTATTGCAATTATTTACACTATTTACATTGTTCCGACTGTTGTCCTAATCTTTGTTGCAATATTTACAACATTTTGGCCATTGTATTCTTCAGACTTCTTCAGGATCTGTCCATATTTCTGAGATGAGGTATTGAAATTATTTGCACTATTTACATTATTCAAACTGTTGTTCTAAATCTTTGTTGCCATATTCACGGTATTTCGACCATTATACAAGTGATTGGAATTTCAAACTGAACCCTTTATTTCATTCCGCATTCCTCTTCCAGATATCTCAGTTATCAAATTTTTGTTCGCCTCTGCAGTAGCCAGATATTGAACTCACAACTCTTTGAGTTAAGTCACTGAATCCAGCCAGCACTTTTATCCACTGGGCCATGTGTCCTCATATTGCAGAGGTGACTTGGTGAGTTTGGTTAAAGGGAGATAACTGGGATATCCGAAAGAAGCATAGCACATGGAACTAGAACAACCTATCCCAGTGGATGAAATAAAAGGTTCAGGTCGAAATTCCAATTGCCGAAGCATCATGAATATGGCCACAAAGATAAGGAGGACAACATTTTGAACAGTTTAAATAGTGTAAAATGGGTATAAAAATTCTGAAACAACTAAAAATATATCTGTAAAAAGGCTTGACTAAAGACAAAAGGAAAACTTTTCTTAGCCAATGCATTTCATCCTCTTATGAATTTTATCAATGTAAATGTAAGGATTTTATTTTACAACAAGTATTTATAAATAGAAGTAAAAATATATTTCAGGTTAACTGAAAGTCAAGGTAAATTATGGAAGATGCTATGTGATATAATTTAATTTCTAATAAATGAAAGTGAGTAAATGTTGATGTTGTTGATTTTTTTTCTAAAGTAATTATTATTTATATTATATTAGTTTGTGAAATTAATTTATGTATTAGATATATTAAATAATAAGTTTTCTTTTAATTTTCTCAAATTTTTATAGTTATGTATATTGGCTTGGGAAAGGAGTATTTCTTTCATGAAAGGAGACATTTTAAAAAACTTTGTGTACCCACTAAATATAACATTTATAGTGTGTATATATATATATATATATATATATATATATATATATATATATATATAGCACCTGATGATTGCATTTAGTATGAAACAGACTGTCACCTCTAGATGTTGACTTCAATATCCACTTTTATATTTACGTATGCTCTATTCTTGATATTGAGCACTTTTACCCATAAATATAGCACACCTTAAAGCTATAATTTATCATATATATATATATATATATATTAATAAACAAAGAACAATAAATTCTTACATTAGTCACACATGTACCACACTCTCTGATAGGTTGTCTTGTCATTTGTCAAAATTTATTGCAATTTGTGCACATATATTGCAGCATATTACAAATAATTAAAATGACAACAAAATACTATATAGGGCTCAATACAAAGAAAAACTCAACATTTTGGAAGCCATTGTTATACAAGGGAAGCCAACAACATTAAATAATGTATAAAAAATAAGTAAATAAATAAATAAAAATAAAACAAATAAAATATAGATAGGTGTGTGTGTGTGTGTGTGTGTGTGTGTGTGTGTGTGTGTGTGTGTGTGTGTGTGTGTGTGTGTGTGTGTGTGTGTGTGTGTGTGTTGTTTCATATCTTGGGAATTTTATTTACCATCAGTTGATTTCTTGTTTCCCTTCTATTTCAGACCTTTGCGAGCCAACTGGGCAATCTGGCTTCTTCCAATAAAGATAGACAAAAGTAAGTCGCAATTACGTTTGTCGAAACTTAGATAATGTGAATGAAAAAAGAAAATACAGTTTGAATAATCTTCTATATTTGTCTTTTTACAGACAGACATCAACTGAAATTGTTTTGCCAAATAACATGAAGAATATAAGGTATGTCCAATTCATTAAAATCACATTTCTCTCTCTTTCCTTTTTCCTCTCTTTTTCCTTTTTACCTCTTTTTTCTTTTTCTTTTTACCACTTTTCTTTTCTTTTTCTTTTTCCTTTTCCTTTTACCTTTTCTTTTTACCTCTTTTCTTTTTCTTTTTACATCTTTTTCTCTTTCTTTTTCTTTTTTCTTTTTTATCTTTTTTCTTTTTCTTTTTCTTTTTACCTCTTTGCAACAAAGTTGTCCAGAGTTTATTTTTTAAGCCGTATTTGTCTGTCTGTTCACACAATATCTTAATGCAAATTTTACAACATCCTATAACAAAATTGATATCATTTTATGCTTAATTGGCTAAATGGTATGATGCATTGGAGAACAACTGGTTAGCCTTTTTATTTTATTTCACAACTGGATTTGATTGATTTGTTTTTCACAGCCTATCAACCTTTTGCAGTTTATTTATAGCTGGAAAATATTTTTAGGTTGTAAGAATTTTTGGAGATAAAAATAATTTACTGATACATTCCCTACGAATTAACCCATTGCTGTGGGGAGAGGAAGTGGATTTATGCCATTCCTAAGAGTATTTATATGTAAGTGAATATAATGAACCCAACTGATATTGAAACTTGGCTTTATGATTTCCATTTACAAGCTGTTATTCATTACACCACCCATACATCCAAGTTATAGCACCTGACACTCCCAAGTAGTTAACCATCTAGGTACTAACCAGGCTTGATATTGCTTTACTTTGGTGATTGTATGAGAACCAGTTTTTCAACATGATATGGCCCTAAACCTGTTATACCACCTACATGTCCAAGATTACAGCACCTGGTATTCCCAAGGGGTCACTTATCTAGGTAATGATCAGGCATGACATTGCTTAACTTTGGTGATTGTATGAGAATCAGTGTTTCAGTGTGATGTGGCCGTAAGCCACAATGTTTGTATTGTATTTCTTCCTCCCACACAACCATTATTAGTCTGAGAAAATCCTTCTGAAGGATAAAATGTTTTTCCTATCTTAACATTAAATTACTCATTGTTTTATTCAGAACTTTATTAATTTTGACATTATCTTCTTCCATACTCGATATTCGAACTAATATTAAATTATTTCTGGGTTTTCTTAGTTTGAAAAAAGTCACAGTTATCAAACAGATTTCATGAAGAAAAATTAAAATGTTTTTACATGATTTTTCTTAGAAATCTTTAGTAATTCCTAGCATCTGACTCAAATTTGGGCTTTGATTTTTTTGAGATGTTTTACATTATCCATCATTAACATATGTTTTGTGAGATGGGTGGTGTAATATATAGCTGCTCAGAATGAGAAATCAAAGAGGCGTGTTCCATTCCCAGCCGAGTTTGTTACATTCAATAATGTCATCCCAAATTTCCAGGAACCAGTTCTATAAAGATAGGTAAACTTTAGCAACCTTATTTTCTTTTCAATCTGAGAATGGAAACAAATCACTTTATATATTATCAAAAAGAATTAAACCATTTTACCATTTTGATGATTTAATAGAAAACAGTTATTTATTAATATATTTCCCGATTGAAATTCTGTTCTCATCATATTTCTGTTTAGAAGTCTGATACTTTTTTATTCTGGTGTCATCAGCTGTGTTTATGGTTTCTTAACACATTCAAACTGAATTGATGAAGTCCAAAAGATCCAATGGAAGACTTATCAAATTTATGACTAGAAGATTTGCTACATTTTTAACTTCAAGAAGATTTCTTTTGTCAGAATAAATTATGTTCATCACAGAAAACCCTCTTTCAGCCTCTACAGAACTTACAGCAATTGTATTAATTATATTTTAGCTATTATATAGCAGCTATTAAAATGTAAGATTATTTTTGGATAATCCAATGACCGGTTCACTAAGCTTTTATAATTTTAAAAATTGGTTTATATGAATTAGTGTCAACCAGTAGGATTACACCACTGGTTACATTGGCTTATATGCAAATACCTGTGGAAAAGAAATTAATCAAACTCTTCTTCCACTAGCTATTGGTAGAGAGCAGGACAGACTGGGTTCTATAGCCTTGTATGTCAACTGGTCTAGGAGAAGAACAACTTTGAATTCAAAACCTTCAAATATAGGTTAAATAACCTCTATAACCTGCAATTGGCCAATGGGTGGTAACCAGTTTAAAAGAAAGACAACTCTTAATTCAAAAATTGTAATGATCAAATCATGACCTTCTGGCTTGGCTTAGTACCCAGAAGCTACCCTTGATAAGTTTACAGTGAAAACATTGGCAGGAGAATTTTAGATGTGAAAATCTGACAGAACAGATCTGGCACTGAACTTCAATGGTGTCAGACAAGAGATCCTTGCATTCTGGACACTTATTCTAAGTCAGTTGGAAACTGCAGGAACACATCATGCCTTGTGTCTCTTAATATATGTGCCACTGAGACCCTGATATGATGACACAAATTAGCAACACAAGGGAGAAGTATGTGGATGCTATGGAGCATTCTGGCGGACAACCCAGTTTTTTTTTTTACCAGGGAAACATTGTTATTTGCTGTCCAGTTCATTTAAAATTGAAAGATTTATATTCTTCAGATTCCCATTATGATCAACTTAGAATTTTTTAACTTTTTCTTTAGGTATTCAGTATTTGGTCTTGGAAACAGCTCCTATGAAGAATTTTGTGGTTTTGGCCATTTTATGAATAAACACCTGGCCAACATTGGCGCCAAGAGCATTTATCCAATTGGAGAAGGTGATGAACTGGGTGGACAAAAAGAATCCTTCGATCTTTGGTCTGCAGAAGTCATGAAGGTAAGAAAAATATCACAGCTATAAGTTTGGGCAGTTTTTCCTAATTATATCAGTGCCTACTACATAGCAATGGTAACTGAGCTAATCTCCTAACGTTGTGTATAAAAATATTCAGAATTAAAACATTGTATCCGAATAAAAGGTTTGTCAAAAGGATGTTTTTTTTTCCCTTGCTTCTGCTATTATTTTAACTACGTTCATTCCTAGGCAATGTTTATTGCTTTAAAAAGTGATTATTATAATCATATTAAAATCCAGAAATATGAAAGTCATTTTATACATTTTCTTTGTTCTCAAGAATTTACAACAAAAATATTAAACACTACTTATTTATTAGATTGTTTATTTAGAAGAATCATTTTATATTTACAACATTATAAAAACATGACCATCACGCAATGTACTGCTGATGGCGGACGCAAGCAGGGATAGCAATGCAAAATCTGGTCAGACAACATCAAAGAGTGGACAGACATGACAATGCTGGAACTTCTGAGCGCAACTGCCAACAGATCATCCTAGAGGAGGTTGCCTTGTTTCTTAGGTAACCCCAATGACTGAAAGCAGACAAGGAAGTGATGATGATTATGATAATTATGATGATGAAAGATGATACTAATGCAATGTAATGTTTATCATTTGCCAGTTTATAAAAAAATAAATATTGGGGAAAAATGTATGAGAAAGTGTAAAAAGTTTTCATTTGACACGTTTCATCCTTTAGGACTTCATCGGACTAAATTTGTTATGTTGGTGTGACTACACATGTGCATAGATTGAGGGATGCTGGGAATTTTTTTTTTTTTGTTTATATATCGTTATCTCAGAAATAAATATGAAAACAATTATTTATTCATAAATGTATTAAAAAAAATGACTAAATTATAAAAATATGTGAACTTACTATAATAAAATTTTTCTTATTAAGTATGAATCAATCGGCTACTAGCCAATGTTTTGCCAATCTTCAATTTCAAAGAACACAATTCACCAACTTGTTGATAAAATACCTAATTATCTTGTGCAAATGGATGACAGAACAAGGTTTAGCATATTGGGATCATGGCTCTCCACAATTTCCTGTCCTTTTTAGCTCTTAATAAATTTTGTCTTTTTGTTATCTATCCTAAACTCTGTTCTACCATTCAAAAAGTAAGATAGAAGAGGAGAGAGAAAATTGGATTAAGCTGATAAGAACAGATACTACACCTTCATCTTAAATACATCAATTTGACACAAGGCCAGGAAAAAAAAGTGGGGAGAAAGGCTTGTCATGCAAAATCTAAGAAAATGAAACTACTCTCTCATTCAACCCATCCACATCAACAATATTTCTTTCATCCATCTCTTTTCATCCGTCACCTACCACTCTATACTACCTACAGATTATCATTTATGCTACTTTCATCTCAGCCAAAAGGCCGTGAAACAATAGCAATTGGCATAAATGCACCATTTTTCAGATGCACAGTATTGAACAATGGAAACTGAGTAAAAAAAAACAAAACCATTACCATAAATAAATGTTTGTAAGACAGGGATTTGTCTAGAAAGAAAGAAAGAAAGAAAGAAAGAAAGAAAGAAAGAAAGAAGTGTTTAATAATGTCTCTTGCCAATACCTTATAAGAAATGGACTATTCCATTTTGATTGTGAAGAAATACGAAAGACACACAAAAGAAAGAAAGAAGGGAAGCTAGAAGTGTTTAATGGATGTTTCCATGAAATGGAAAAAGTTGTCAATTTCAAATCTTTTCATTTGTACCCACTTCTTAAAATCACAACTAGCATTCATATTTATGATTGTCATTGCAATATTTTGTTAAAGTTGTTAAGCTCAAATATTTTAATGATGTAATAGGAGAATTTCTACAGATATTCTAGATTGTATTGTCATAGAACTTCCCATATGCTTATTCAACTGTTTGCTGAAGAATTAAGATTTAAATTAGAAAACCGTGAAATTTTCATGGGTCTTTCTAGTTATAATTATTTAATGTGTATCTGATCAGACTCTTTTTTATTTTATTATTATTATTATTATTTTTTTTTTTTTATAATATAGGCAGCATGTGATGAATTTGGTTTGAAACAAGTGACAGTGACTTATGAAAGCCAGGAACCTCAGTGGACACCAGAAAAATTCCGAGCAGCCGTAGCTTATGTCTCAGAAAAGAAAGACATATACCAAAGTAAGTTCCATACCATTTCAGTCTTTCTCCTAAGTTTATGGCTGCATTTTGTTATAAACACATGTATGGTGTCACAGAAGAACAAATGGAACAATACTGCCAGTGAGGTGAAAGGAGAAGACAAATATTGTAAATATAAAATTCTTTTATATTGCTGATACAGTGGATATGAGCAGAATGTCTCTAATGTGGGTAAGAGAGGCAGCTTTGAAGGAAAGGTAGAGATTGTAAAGCTTGTAATTGATGCATTTGTTAGGTCAGTTGACCAAGATCAAGGTGGTGAAGTCAAGAGAAGCTAGGAGTGGATTAGTGAAGCTTGCCATTCACCACAAATCTGTGTGTTGGGTAAATGAGTGTCTTTCTTAAAAGCGCATGTTTTGGCTCATCTTTTGTTCATGTTTTTATTTGGCAGCAACATATGTTGTTATTTTATGTTTTTTTGATCGGATTTGTTTTTTTTTTCAACCATATGTGATGCTTGGAGCCTCTGCGCAGAGGACAACTTTTTAATTTGGGATTTTGTTTTCTTAACATTCAAATGCAGCCAACATGTATAGCAAATAAGAAAGAGATCTAATTTGAAGCGGAATATAAAAATTTGAATTATACTTTGCTTAACTCTCCTCACAATAACTGCAAACCTCACATTTCTAAAGTATGGATATGTTCTAAAGAGAAAACTAGACAAACTTATGAAGTGTAAAGTCACTGTTTAAGATAACAAGGGTAAAAATAATGATTATCATTGAATTAGCTCTCTTGCAGCTGAGAATACCTTCAGTTTGTCATAGGCAACAAAGGATTTTTTTTAAATACAGATTTCTTGTTCTTATACAAATATAACCAAACCTCTGGCTGTAACCACCAGATATAACCCATACTTGTTCTGGTCACTAAATACAACATACCTGTCTGATTATTCAATGTTGGTTGCACTTTGGTGAAGGTGGCTTGACTCAGTTTTGCTAATTTATTTGCATTCATTATGTATCTGTGAGAAAAAAACAGGGTGTGGCTTTGTTGATCTGGGTGAGATTTCAGTCACAATGTTTCTTTAGTGTCGGACAATCTTCCCCCAAAAAGGTTCAAACATGTCAACAGAAGAAACAATGCTGTTGAAAAATGATCAACAATCTAATTAAAGGTTAACTGCAAAAATCATGCAACTGCTATGCAGCTGTTTTGTTCCAATCACTCCTCTTCTACCCTTGAAGCATTGAGAGATATCTATTTAAGTAATGCTGGTGATGCTAACATCTTAGCAGTTAATTACTTTTACAGCAGATTTTCTCTGATGCATGAAAAAGGATGAGGTTGCCAGTTTTTGCAAGGCATTTACTCAAAGGATCTCTGTGTAAATATTTTGAATTCTACTCACATTCTAATTTCTGCACTTATGTAATCCATTTATACAGACTTTGGCCAAGGAATAATGATTAATTACCTTCTTAAACAAAGGACTCAGATGGCCGTCTATGATGTGCTTTTCAATTTTGGCCTGGATTTTTAAGTTTCTAAAATTTACATTGAAATCAATGTGAATATACCAGATAGACTGCTAAAAAAAAAAACCCAAAGTTACTGAAAATTCTGTGGACTTTTGGCAAAATCATTAGTTATGACATGCCAACTTCCTTGGAGTTATACAGTTAGGCCAGGGGTGTCAGTTATGCCTAATCTTAGTAAATCTTTACTTTAAGTTCAAAGTTTTCCAAGACTATCTGTATTGGTATTTTATGGGTTTAAATTAATATTTTTAACCGTTTTATTTTTCATCAGACCCCAATTCGATTAACCACTCTTCCATATTTTTCTCCTAATATATCTACTGCTTTGCTAGGAATTATTAAATCTCTCAATAATTCTAGTCACTAACCATTTTCCATGTACAGGTATGACTTAAGGAGAGCCACAAGTAAATCCATAAATGAAGGACAGTACTCTACAATAACCAATTAATAGCTGAAACTTCTTTTTTTATCTCTCTCTAGTTCCATATGTAGAATGACTAAACAATATTGTCATAAAATCACTACTCAGTAATAATGGTCAGTCATACTAGCTTAAAAGGCACAAATAATGTTTGTAGTTGGTAAAACATAATAAAATGAGACATCAATATTTGTATCGTTTTAAGAGATTATTTTCTAAATTTCATCCAACAGTGCTAGCAGCTTAGTCAATGAATGCCAAATGCTTCCTTATAAGGAAACAGTTAATATTACCATTACTATTGCCGTTAAGGGCAACATAATCATATGAGTTGCCAATAATGTTTGTATTTGATTATAACAGGAGAGAGCTATGGAAAAAAGATTTATTCTCTCTTTTGTATTTCCCCCATTATGGGAATTATTATATCCATGATATAATAACATTATACTTTATGGGCGGAATGGAATGACAGAAAGGAAAAGGAAACATGCTATGGGATGGGGAGGAGGCTAAAGAAAGCAATCTCAGTTTGGCTACTGTAAAACAATCTGAAACTGACTGCCACTTTTGTCACTGTATGGAGTGATGTCTCTAGGCAGTCTGTCACCTGACCTGTGTGACTTATATAATAATTGCCTTCTGTATCCCTATATGCAAAATATATGAAACTAAAATGCCAATAATATTTACATATCAGGGGACATGATAAAGTGAAACGTTAATAATGTTTCTAAAACTGTTTTATATTCTTTTCAGATCTGGCAAGTATTCATCATAAAGCAATTTTCCCTTGTAAGATTAACAAAAGAAAACATCTTCTTCCAACAGATTATAGGTAAGTTATTCATCAAATAAACTGAATTTTCACAAAGACTGCCACTTTAGCAGTAAAATAATTGCTCCCTACATTACAAACATCATTGTGTGTATGACAAGGAGGAAATGATAACCCCACTCTATTTAATCTCTTCCAAGACTATCCTCTGTGCATATACAAGCACAGATATGAAAAGAATGACCCTGATTACTTAAACATACTATAGCATATCCCAAATGAATCTAATAGAAAACCGTGTTTTTACTTCCCTTCCCAACGCAATGTACAGGGGATTTGTGGTGGAGAAGACATTTATAGTTGGGATATGGGTTAACTTGAACAAAAATTAACATCATCTACCAAGTATTCCAAGAAATAAGACTAAAGATAAACCTTTCCTAAAACAGAAACGAGGATCTGGAATTGAAATGAAAATATTGATGCCATGTAGACTGAATCCTTCATAAAAATTCAGTATGTGGAATTAGTAAATACTAAACAATTCAAATAATCAGTTACAATAAGTTTAGTATAAGTGATAAAGAAATTGAACATAGAATAGGCTAGAGTAGTTTTACCCAACACCACAATTCTTAGGGAGGACCATCCTTCTTTGAATATTTCGGACTGGCGCTACAGAATAACAAACGAAGAACTGTACCAGAAAACAGAAACCTCATCGATGACTTTCAGCAGCAGCAACAACTAAAATGGATAGCACATGTAACTTGAAGAGAGAATAATGATGTAATCAAGATGTTGACATTCCACACTACCACAAACAAAAGGTAAGGGAAGAAGACCTCCTCCAATACTCGAAAGAGTATTAATAATAAATGCCAAATGTTTCCATATAAGGAAACAGTTAATATTGCCATTACCATTAATGATATGATGACAGTTCAAATAAAATATGAGGCTTGTCTAGAAAATATCCACATATTTAAAATTTTAGAAAAATGGACTACCTAGGGCAATGGTTCTTTAGTCCCTTTTAATGAGACATTCCACTTTCCAAAACAGTTCTTTTTTGGGATCTCCATTAGCTGCTTCATCATGTTTTCTTTAATCTTATTCAGAGTGATTTTAACATTAGGTAAAGAGAGATATTTCAGGGAGTCAAAGACGGGGGCGGGGGGCTGATAGTGCCTCGTTTTGCCAAAATACCCTGCACAAGACAAGAAAATTTTACTCACACATTCATTGTAAATGTGACTTTCACACAGTACATAAGCTCACTTAAGGGCATATCACTATTGACTGAGTAACCCCACAGAAAAGTAAATGTTTAGACATGAGCAATAAGTTCCTCTTTAATTTGTTGCTGAGTTATATCATGATTGGACTGCTTGGGAACACCTGGTACTGTAAGCCCCCAAAGTCCAACCCTTACCTCACAGTCGGTGGGGGGGTGTAAACGGTAGTGTCAGAGCTATGCCGCCTGAACTGTTCCTGGTAGGGCCACCAAGGCGGACAGGTCTGACACACACGCCGGCTAACAAGGGCTCTGGTGAAAATCCAAGGAGCGTCTGCATCGGTGACCGGCGGCTTCTGGTCATTCCTGTCTCTGCGTCTGTGGGAACCCCGTGGCAAGCAAGAACGTTATCTGAGTAGGCCTGGGTACCCTACTTCTGTAATTTATCCCAAGAATCTTCTTCTCATAACAGGAAGAAGCCGGCTCAATCCGCCCAGGGTGAATGCCACATCAGTATCAGTATATCATGATTACACACAAGAGACTCAAGATATTCAAAATGGCTGGCAAAGTTATGACCAAGGCTTTGTATGATAGTATTGTAAGAATCAGTTGTAAAGAAATGAGGATTTAGTCATAGAAATAAGACCAGTAGTCTCTGCATTGTTTCAGTGACACTCCTATTCTTCTCCATTTTTTTTCTTAATCAAATTTACCCCATACAAGCCAGTAAAACTGCTGAGACACAAAAGGTTACTGAGTGTGAAAGAATTAGAAAACAAAAACATTATGAAGGAGAAAGAACAATAGCAGAATAATCAGGAAGACAGTAGATGATGACTGACATTGTATTTAAATTTTTGAAGATCAAAGTTGGTTGGAAAACAAGAAGCCAGAAGAGCAAGACATGTGAGAAAAGAAACAGCTAGCATAGAATTCAGTTAAACATACCCAATTCAACTGTGAATTGATAAGACCTTGCCGTCAATCTAGTACTGTGCTTAAATACATAAAGTCTAGGTACCATAGTGATGAACTCATCTGAACAATTACCATGAAATTATTTATAGAAAAGGCACAGAGAAGCAACTTTATGGTGGTGAGAAAGTCACTGAAGCCAAGATGCCAAGTCAGGATCATAATATTGCTGATTTTATCAATAATCTCTTAATACATAGCACGAGCACTGGACCATAGGTGGGAGGAATATTCAAAGCATGGATGAATAGTATACTTATAAATATGTAAGACAGATTTTGGAGAGAGAGAAAATTATCTAGCACAAAACAGTGAACCAACTTTCTTAGCAGCAGACGTAGCAATTAATCCAGTATAATCTTTCAACTTCAGGCCAGTCAAAAATGATAGCTCAAGAAGTTTAGCATCAGTCATGCTGATGGAAGGTAGAAAAGGGTCTCTCTGATGATTAATAGAAAACAGTTTAGTTTTAAAGGCATTAAAATTAACAAGCCATTCTTTGTCACAGTTAACAACAGACTGTAGGTCATTTTCAAGATCAGCTGCAAATTTTATCTTATTGAACTAATGAGACTTACTATTGAGACAGGAGTAAATCGTTATCATTAGCATAGATACCAAGTTGAGAGATAATCCTATCAGGAAGGTAGATGATGAAAATTAAGAAAAAATGGTTGCAAGTATAGAGCCCTGGGGGACACCTGCATTTAAGAGAATTTCAAATTTTAACACTTAATTTTAATTTTCTTAATGCTTGACTTGTTATTGATAAAATTAAAATTTAATATTTTATTGTTTAAATTAAAATTATTCAACTTTTTATTAAATTTAAATGATTGTCTAAATCAATCAAAATTATTTAACCATATATTATTAAAATTAAAATTATTCAACTTTTTTATTAGATTAGAAAGATGAGATTTTTACTATGTAAATTAAATTTATTTAAATTTAGTAAATTAAAATGACTTAACTATCTGTTATATAAATTTGTTAAAATTATTTAGCATTTCATTATTTGAATTAAAATTAATCTACTATTTTATAAAATTAACTAAAAGAATTTAACTGTTTTTCATCTTAATTAATTGTTACATTGTAAATGAATTTAAATGATTTAATTTAAATGATTATATGAACATTTGAAAATAATTGTTCGAAAACAATTATTTGAAAATCATTTATTCGAACTGTAAATTGTTTGAATGAAAATTAATCGAAAGGACAATCATACTAAATGGTAACTATTCAAAATGCAAAATTCTTTATTTTTCAAACAATTTTCTCAATATGAATTTAAATCTCTCAGGAAAACTTTTACGACTTTATTTAAAGTTCATTGTTTTTCTTTATTGTTCAATTATTTTTTCTATTTCAGCCGGCAGACAATGCTTGCCTCTCTCAGTCCCAAGGGTCATGAAAACATGACTTATTTACCTGGAGATCACGTGGGAATCTACCCAGTCAACGACACCCAGGAAGTGAATAACATCCTGGATTATGTACACATGATTCCTGGTTTTGATGAAGAAGTTGAAGTGCAAGTTAAAGAAGGTAAAAATTGGCCATTGTATAGAAGGTGATCAAGAGGAAAAAAAAAGTTTTAAGAGGAATTGAGGAGACAAAAAATATCTTCTAATATAAATTAAGGGGGATTTGGTTAATTTGGTTGATTTAATGACATATTAACCTTTGTAAGGTTATTTAACGTCTTATAAAACAAAAATGACATAGTTTCAGTTTATACAAGTGTCAAAAAGGTCACTTTATATGAGAATTAAAAATGTATACATAGGTCAGTTTCCACTATCATCAAAAAGGCAAACTTAGGTCTGGTTTACACTAGAGTCAAAAAAGGTACACTTAGATCTGCTTTACACTACAGTAAAAAAAAAAAAACATAGATCCAGTTTACACTATAATCAAAAAGTAGACACTAATCCAGTTTACACTAGAGTTAAAAAGTTAGACATAGATTTGGTTTACACTAGAGTAAAACAAACAGACATGGGCAAAGTTTACACTAGAGTCAAAAAGCAAACTTAGGTCTACTTTACACTATAATAAAAATGTAAAGATCTATCTTGCTTTCATTAAATCAAAAAGACAGATATATGTCCAGTTTACACTAGAATAAAAATGGTAGACACAGATCCAGTTTACATAGGCATAGATCAAGTTTACACTAGAATCAAAAACATATGATATGTGATAAAATAAAATTAAAAAAACAAGTAGGAAATATATCTCAATCTAACATGTTTCACCCTTATTGAGGCTTTGTCAGAGATTAAGACAGAAATGAAAAAACAAAAAAACAGAGTACTGGTATCTTAAGATTCTTGGTTAGTTCTCATTGGACAGACACATGTCATGTGTATTAACACAGTAGATAGTATATAAATATGTATGAGAAACATTTCGGGTGTTAAAGTGTGTGATAGTGTAAGAGTGTGTATGTAAAGAAATGCTTGTTTGTCTAGGTGTATTTTGGACAGTAACGTTAATTCATGTAAGTGTATAAGTTTGTGTGTGAGGAATGTCTATAGATGTCACCCTTGCATGCTGGTGGAATGTAGCAAAATGTTGCAATAATTTTGTATTTGGTTGGATTTTTATATTCTCGGGTATTTGTATGTGGGGAATGTCTGTGGTCGTCACTTCTGTGGGGGTTGGTGAAATGCAACAAGATATTGTAATACTCTTGTTTTGCTTGAATTTATTATAAACCTTTACTACATTGAAGGCAAAATTTTCTCGCCATAGAATTCTTTACCTTTGCATGCTCTAGGAGCATTCTGTAGCCTCAAGTGGCTTGCTATAAATAAACATTTGTCAAGTGTCATTTCCGGAAATAACAGTTGACATGTGTGATGTATTTTTGGAGCCTTTAAATCTGATATCAGATGGTTTTGACATTTTTTATTTATCATGTCAGGTTCATACTACTTGTTTGATATATTTTCTCTTTGATTTTAAAGATGAGAAATTGTCAATATAGGTTGAATTTTTTAAATTTATTCAAACTATAGTTCAAATAAATGGTAAATAATGGATTTCTGAAGACAAGACATGCTTGGTCGAAATGTCATGTCGTAATAACATTTACAATAATCAAAATCAGAATTACAATTCAAATAAATTGAATAAGTCAAATTATACTGACAAATTCCTCATCTCCAAAATCAAAACCAAAAGTTAAAATCATTTTTCTTTTTACTTTTTAGGAAACAAATGGAAGCCATACAACAGACTACCCGCCTGTTCTTTGCGTACAGGTCTTACTTACTTCCTTGATATCAAAACTCCTCCTTCAAAAGTTTTTCTCCAAAGATTGGCACAGTACGCACAAAATCCAGAGGAAGAAGCCGCCTTAGAAAAACTCTCAAAGGTAAAGGAAATTATTAGTGAAATCAATATTCTTTTATTTTTACAACTTTTATTAAAAGTAAACTTGTGTATTCTTGTGAAAACCAAATGCCTAATAATTCAGAAAAAAAAATGCACCTCAATTTTTTATCACCACCCTGTATACATGATGCGATGGGTAAAGTGTAATCTAAATTACACTAAAGTGAAAATAACACTGACATCTAATTTTAACAGATATATTTACCAAAATTACACAAAAATATCTCAAAATACTAAAGAGCAAATTTATTCAATAAAATTGCTATTGGCTTTGACCGCAGTGTCCAGATGACTTCAGAATCTCCTGCAACTCTTCTGAACGGTCTCCTTGTTTAAGTTGGTGAATACTGCCATAATCCTTGCCTTCAGTTCATATTTTACAAGGAATTTTGATGGTCTCTCACTCAACTCCACCCCACACATAATAATTAAGGGGTTTGCAGTCTGGGGAGTTAGGTGGACAGATGTAAGTGCTGATGTGGTTGAAGAAATTATCTGACAGCCATAATTGGGTTTTCTTGCTTATGTGACATGGTGCAGAGTCCTGTTGCCAGATACAGGGTCTTCCAGCAGCTAAACTCTTGACCCGAGACAGCACTACCTCCTCAATGCACTTGATGTAGGCCTTCATGTTGAGTTTGAGGCCCTGTGGAAAGATGAATAGAGTCATGGATATTGGCATCACTAGTGATCACTCCAAACAACTTCATAATCACCATTAGACTCATATAACTCTTTCCGAATCATCTGTACTGTCCTCAGATTGACACCCAAACACTCTGAAATGTTTGTATTGGAGCTCCCGGTGTGAATGCCAAGCAGTACAGGATGCCATTTCCAAATCTCTGGCGGGGTGAATTGCATCATGGTGCTCTTTTTGTTACAGACGGTGACCAACTGTTTCTACTATGCTGTGCAGTCAACAAAATCAAAGACAAACATGCATGCAGGAAATAAAAAATACAAAAAAAATATAAAAAATATAAAATGGCGACAATTTACCCATCGCACCTCCATATTTGGATGTAGGTAGTATCATGGTCAAGGAGGCATGGTGGAGTAATGGATAGTGGCTCAGATTGAAGAATCAGAGAGCTGAGTTCAAATTCCAGTCAGATCCATTACATACATTTACATGCTAATACCCTTGGGGAAGGTATGAATCCTCTTCTTCTCACAACAATCATGGGTAAATAGCAGGACAGACAGCCGATCTAGGAGAAGGAAACTCTAAATCCAAAATCAGCCATGAGAGGGCTGGGATACATCATGCTATCTTGCTCAAGAAACAGCACATTTATGCCACTAAAGTACATGTGGTGCCCCCATGACCTTGATGGGTCATGGGATTTGCACGAGTATTGTGGTTATCAACACAGAAATTATGTCCAACATGCCAAGTTCAAATTTATTTAATTGTTTCATACTACCCCAGCATAAGATTTATTTAAGTACCCCAAACTCACTCAAAAGAATTGTAATGGCTCAGGAATTGCATAAAAATAAATAAGTTTTAAGAATGATAGATGACAGCAAATCTTTAACAGCAGCAGCAGTTGAAAAAAGCTTCAGTAAGTGCATGACAAACAGCAGCAGCTGCACTCATGGGCAGGCAGGTTAGTTTTAAGACTCCAAGTTCTCCACAGAGAATTCTTCCATATAGTGTTACCATTAGTATTAATATACTATTTAAGAAATCTTATTAATGTAAACTATGCACTCTTCAGAGATGAAGGTTTAAATCCTGTTGCATATATTTCTTTAATAAGATTTCTTGGGTATCCAGGCTGGTAGACAAAAATAAATAAATATATTGTTTAATAAATAAACAAAGCATCTACTCAAATATGAGTATCCACTAAAAATAGCATTTAAGTAATAAAAATCTGCCAGATTAATCAATAAAAAATCCATTCATTTCTTTAAAAATTGCTTTGTTTATATTAGAATAAGAAACTGAGCAAATATGTCTGTGTCAAGAGTCAGAGAAGAATCTGTGTTTAAAGGCATTATTCAGTTTTGATTGGTTATTGATGCACTCTGTAGCCAAAAGGTTAAAGCATGTCAGATCCAATGATGGATTACATAGGTTTTCTTTAATATGATTTCTCAAATATTCAAGCTGGTAGACAAAATTAAATAAATGCATTGTTTAATAAATAAACAGAGTGTCTATTCAAATACGAGTATCCACTAAAAATAATGTTTAAAGTGATAAAATATATATATATATATATATAGCAACAAGTAAAAGTATATAACCATCTTATCTGTTCCTATTGAGACTTTCACAAATATGGAATACAAGAGGCTTGATAGTAAAACTGAATCTCTTTCTAGAAATCATATGATTAGGGACAGATAAGTTAAGCATTAGATTTTATTTCTTGCTATTAATGCTCTATATTTTGATATTGAGCTCTTTAATTACAAAGACTGCTTGCCTTAAAAACATTGTCTCCCAGAAATACACTGATCCACTGTTTTCATTTTTCTTTACTTTTTTTTTTGATGTGATGCCGTCTTTGCTATTATTGTTATATACCATATATATTTATGCAACATGTGATGTTCATTTCAAATACAGTTGTACTTTTTGACTACAGTAAATGGTTATAGCCAGGACGAGCAGTACATGCACTAATTTTATATCTCATGTATGATGCAACCCCTTAAAATTAGCTTCAAAATTAGGTGTTCAAAAGTCACATGATCTGCAACTATATACAATAAATAGGTAGATATATAAATGATGCATGTTTGTGTGTGTGTATATATATATATATATATATATATATATATATATATATATATAAAAGTGAACATTGAAGTCAACACTCCAGAGGTGACAGGCTGTTTCATGCCAGATGCAATCATCAGTCAGCCTGACGATTGTGTCTGGCATGAAACAGCCTGTTGTCCTCTGAGTGTTGACTTCAATGTTCACTTTTATATTTATATTTACATACACTCTATCTCTGATATTGAGCACCTTATCCCATAAATATAACACACCTTAAAACTATATTTCTTCATATATATATATATATATATATATATATACACACACACACATGCATTAATAATTGTATCTTCCAAATGTTTTCTTTAATACAGAGTACAGATGAGTATGAAGATTGGAAAAGAACTTCGCTCCCAACGCTTTTGCACGTTCTGTCTCAGTTTCCATCGGTGAGAGGCCTACCCACATCTTTCCTGCTGTCCCAGTTGCCGTTACTCCAGCAAAGGTTTTATAGCATCAGTTCTTCTCAACAGGCTCACCCAGATGAGATCCATGTCACGTACGCTGTTGTCCAATACGTGACACCGAGTAAGTCTCAATTCTACATGACAACAGTGTCCATTTATTGACATGAGGTTGATGAAAACGTTAACAGAATTTCTTTAATGAACTCTGTTCTTTATATGCAAATAATTATGTTGATATATCTGGGAAATATGATGCATAAGGGAGAAGATCCCATCATAGGTCTATGTCTCATTCTCTCACTATATATATGGACAGTTTTGGTACTCACTCAGTCCCATCAAAAATGGGAGCACGCTGGAAAAACTAAATAGAAAATTAATAAAATTTTCCTTGTCCATCATATTTAATGAAAGATGTTTAAGAGAAAGATTTATGCCCAAATATACATTAATCAAATATCTATATATATATATATATATATATATATATATATATATATATATATATAGGTAAAAAGTAATCCAAGTAGATCTTATTAGTATAAAATATTTAAACTGATCCACAAAAGAGAGTTCAATATAATTTTTATTATAGAGCATATAAATGAATTACAATTAATGAGATCCAAACAATTTACCTCATACAGATGACCATTTCGTACATGGGAAAGTAGGTTTTCCCTGGACTTATCAATGCAAATACATTTACTAAAAATCTAGTAAATGTATTTGCATTGATAAGTCCCAGGACAACTTCTTTTCCCATGTATGAAATGGTCATTCTATTGAGGTAAATTGTTTGATCTCATTAATTGTAATTCATTTATATGCTCTATAATAAAAATTATATATATATATATATATATATATATATATATATATATATATATATATATATATATCAAAACAAACATTGTATTTTAATTATTACATATGATTAGTGAAATGATTAATATATATATATATATATATATAGAGGAATCTAAATGGAATAATAATAAAAAAACGAAAGAATATTAATCTACAACCCAGTGTGTCTAATGATTTTAATTTTTTTAATTTTTATTTTCTTATTGTTCAAAAAATATATATATATATATATATATATATATATATATATATATATATATATATATATATACACACACACAATATAAACAATAATTTAATTGAAATATAATTCTAATTAAATACAGATTATCATTGATTTTTTTCACTGCAGTGCTCAGTATCCTACCAACAGTATCACATATTTTGAATGTTACATCTTTTGGATCTTATTAAAAATGTGACAAGCATACTATTAACCAAAAGTTTTATGATGACAGAACCGATTATTAGACACTTAAAAAAACTGAAACTCTCCATGTGAAGAGTAGACAGAAGCTGTCTAAATACAAGCAAAAAAGTGGAACTAAGCATCTGATGATCAATTCTACCATGCTTATTTACATGTATACTTGTCACATTCTCTAACATATGTAATATTTACACTATATATATATATATATATATATATATATATATTTATTAAAGACATTTTTTATGTTTAATGTTGTTATTTATAGATACAAGTATTTAAGCAAATGCTCTGTTTATGATAAACAGTATTAAATAACATTTACCGGCCTGAATGTCCGAGAAATTTTCATAGAAAATATTCGTTCTTTGAAAGGTTTCAAACCTGCATCCTATACGGAACCGTCATTTACGCTGTATCTATAAATAACAACGTTAAACATAAAAAATGTCTTTAATAAATAAATTGTCGGACCTTGTCCATTTCTTAATATATGACGTCATTTGTTTACATTTGATACGCCAGAGCAGTTATAAATGTACGAGATTCATGGAAAATTGAAGTTTATAAGCAGTAAATTCGACCTTGTCTACCGAAAAGGTTCTTTGTGGCCCAGAGGTAAGGCACGTCAGCGTAAATGACGGTTCCGTATAGGATGCAGGTTCGAATCCTGTCAAATAACGAATAATTTCTATGAAAATTTCTCGGACATTCAGGCCGGTAAATGTTATTTAATACTGTTTATCATAAACAGAGCATTTGCTTAAATACTTGTATTTATAAATAACAACATAAAAATGTCTTTAATAAATAAATTATCGGACCTTGTCCATTTCTTAACATATATATATATATATATATATATATATATATATATATATAATGAATAAATAATAGGAAAAAACAATGAGATTTATAATTCAGAGTTCTTAGTATTTATTTTTATTTTTAAAAAACAGTGCTTGAGACAACAGTAGAGCATAATATTATAATTGTTTTTTTTTAAATATATTATCATTGCAACACCGACATTCCCATGTTTCAAAACTGAAACTTCAATTCAAATTTAATCATAAAAATTAAACTTAAAATACAAAATTCTGTTTCATTATCAAGCGATGCTAAGAATAACTTTTTAGAAATTGATTTACTTCATTTATAAGTCCACAAAAAAATATATATTTATATATATATATATATATATATATATATATATGATATTCTACTAAAGAAACACTATTTTCTTGTGAAATCCCAATTTGTTTTTTCTATTAAACCAATGAGTTTTTTTATTATTTTGTTTTTTACACTTTCAGAAAATCCCAGTGATATCCGAAAAGGAATTTGTACTACTTGGCTCCGAGACTGTGATGAGACAATAACAGTTCCTTGTTTTATCAAAAGGTGTGTAGCAGAAACAAAAAAACAAGGACCAGAGCCTCTCACTCTCTCTCACTCTTTCTCTCTCTCTCTCTCTCTATCTATAATCAACATTACACCAATGAAAACATGCATAAATTACTTTTTCACTCAATATGAAAATGATGAAAAATGAGAAAATAAAGAGTCAATTGTTGGGCTATCCGTTTTTAAAAATCTAGAGTCAGAATGTTGAAAATAACATCAATCAGCTAAGTGTGACAAATTTTATATTTGTATTAATCCTAGATAGATAGATAGATAGATAGATAGATAGATAGAGTAATACAAATATAAAATTTATCACTTAGCTGATTGATGTTATTTTCAGCACTATGACAGGCTATATATATATATATATATATATATATATATGGTGATTCCCAACCCCTTACCTCTTGCAGCTCTTGTGATAGCTTCCATCTAGTTTCAGCCTATATGACAGATAATCTCCGTATCCTTGATTGGGTTGATTGAATCTGTATGGCCTATGACTCTTGTGTATACCACCATGTGCCTTTGCAGTTGAGATGATGATCTGCAAATCTTGTGGTCAACAATACAATGAGGCAAAACTGGCTTGCTTCTGATTGTTATGCCGAATTTTCAGATGGTTTATATAACCTGCCCTTGACAACAGCATGCTATCACTCACACACACACACACACACACACACACACACACACACAGGTATGAATTTAGAGCTTTGCTTTTTCCTAGACTGGTGGCCTCCCCATGGCAAGAGAAAACAGTCTACTCTGCTATTTAAACTATATATATATATATATATATATATATATATGGTAAAAATTTAATTTAAGGTAAGTTATATTTATAGGTTAAAATTTTTAATATCAGGGATAGAGTGTATGTAAATACAAAGTGGACATACAGCATTACTTAAAAACTACATTTTATCATATATATATATATATATATATATATATATATATATATATATAAAGAATGTATAAACATAAAAATGTCTTAAAATATGTAAAAAAAAAGAATGTATAAACATAAAATGTCTTAAACTATATATATATATATATATATATATATATATATATATATATATTTATTAAAGACATTTTTATTTATATTTAACGTTGTTATTTTATAGATACAAGTATTTAAGCAAATGCTCTGTTTAAGATAAACAGTATTAAATAACATTTACCGGCCTGAATGTCCGAGAAATTTTCATAGGCCAGTAAATGTTATTTAATACTGTTTATCTTAAACAGAGCATTTGCTTAAATACTTGTATCTATAAAATAACAACGTTAAACATAAATAAAAATGTCTTTAATAAATAAATTGTCGGACCTTGTCCATTTCTTAACATATATATATATATATACATATAATTTAAATAAAAACATACCATTTTAAGGTTCCATGTAATAAATTATTTCACCACAGCCCTTTTAAAAGGACTGCGGATGATCAGACTTTACTTGCAAAGGTTGAAACAGAAAATGAAAAGAAACGGCCCGTCAAAAATGTGTAAATTTCTTTTCATTTTTTGTTTCAACCTTTGGAAGTAAAGTCTGATGATCCGCAGTCCTTTAAAAAGGCTGTGGTGAAATTTATTACATGGAACCTAAAAGTGGTCTGTTTTATTTAAATTATTTGTTCTCGATTTACATTGAACTCTCTGGATTTTATCTTCCTTAGGTTTACCCATACGGATTACCTAGTTTTTCATAAACTATATATATATATATATATATATACTTAAAACAGTGTAAATATAAAAGTAAAAGAAAAATCATTTTTTACTGGAAACTTTAGCACATGCCTAATGTCTGTGTGTTGTGTGAGTGTGTTTATTCATAGTAGATCAGTAAAAAATCAATTAAAATTACTTATTTGAAAATTGTTACAGTGTTTCCCATATGAGTCTAGATTATGTAGAATTTAGTTAACTTAGTACAGAACTATGCCATAAGATAAAAGTACACAGTACGTAGCAACTATTATAAACTATATAGTTATGTCAGATCACTCTACGAGTTCTACTGATACCATATAACCCAATACTACCTGCCACATGATTGGGACCTCAGTAACTAAACTAGTTCCCCCACCAGGTTTTTCTGGTGTGGAGGGTGGCTAGACATCCAGCAAGATTAAAAACAAGAACAGCCAAAGGCAGATGAACCATCAGCCATCTAGTGTAATGGGGTAGACTGGGTCCCATATCTATGTACATGGCCTGGGTGGCAGGCTTCATAGACTGAGGTCAGCAGTCAGGGCAGATTGTTCGCTCCACCAATGTAAACAATGACCATGTGACTGTGAATAAGACAAGCCTTCAAAATGGAGGCTGTTGTCTGACCTGGAGAGGGATGGGCTCCATCAGGTCTGTTTGCTCAGGCATGAATGAAAATCTCTCTGGCTTTCAACTGATGTATATGAAGGGTATTGGCTAAGTGCTCAGCTACACAGAGGCCCTAAAAATCACACCTTGACATAGGATTGATGATGATATGGAGGTAAAATCTATCATCTTTGCTTACATATATATCTGGTGATGACAATTCCAGCCCAAGGCTTATAATAATCCTTTTCTTGCTCCCATACATTGACATTTTTAGGATCAGATAAAGAATAACAGAAGTGTTCCAATAAAAGAAACAATCTATAATAGTAGCAGCATCTTAAGCCATCTTTTTTACTTATCATGACTTTTTTTTTACAGTGCTCCTAGCTTTCATCTCCCAGCAGATCCCAGTGTTCCTGTGATTATGGTGGCCACTGGGACTGGAATTGCCCCTTTCAGAGGATTCTGGCAACAAAGACGTTTAGACTTGGAAAAAGTGGGTAAGTGAAAATATTCTAAGTGTATTTAAATCAACCCATAAATTGTGAATGCTAGGAATTTCATTGATGCATGTATCAGTGATACATGTTTCATTGATATCTGTTTCATTGATACATGTTTCACTGGTACAGTTCTCAATGATACATGTTTCATTGTTATGTGTTTCACTGATACAGGTTTCACTGATACATGTTTCACTGATACATGTTTTATTGATACATGTTTCATTATATTGCTCAACTACAAATGATGGAAATTTCTGTTAATTGGGTTATAATCTTTAATGTTAAATTAACAGATACTACCTCCATTCTACAATAAATGTCCTTTTCTGGGTTTATTTTGGTTTTTCTTTTAATCATTTCACCACAAGCAAGGCAATAAAGCCACTAAGATGCAAGAGGTTACTGAGTGTTAGAGAGTATGAGAAAATACTATTAAGGAGAGAGAACAAGAATTAGTTATAATATTTGAGTGAATTACAAGCAGTTTTATTTGCTTTCTGAAAATAAAATGAAACCTATTTTTGCATATTTGATCTTTTGGAATGTACAAATTCATTTTTTAATATTGGACTTTTAAGATGAATTTTCAAAATAAAATCTTTTGATTTTTTTAAACTTTTATTTATCCTATAAAAACTAGAAAGAATACTAAAGATAATAGTAATAGAAATATTAGCCATTTCCTTATATGGAAACATTTGACATATGTTGACCAAGCAGCCAGTGCTGCTGCCAGTTGAAATTTATAAAAATTCTTCTATTAAAATAAGTAAGATATTATTTAATAAATACATAAATCAAATTCATGGTTTCTTATTGAAGTTGAATGTTTTATTTAGGCTTTCAACAAATAGTAAATAACTTAAAATCTTACTGATAAGGCAATTTTCCAGCTAGTTCTTTAGTTTTTCTGTACCCATGTGGATAAAAAAAAAACACTCAAAGAATCCAGTCTTCAGGGAAGAATTGTGAAATGTTGGTAATTATTAAAGATATAGGTATTTTTCTTTCTTGAGTCAAAAAGTGAACTACTGGATATATTATTAACACTCAGTACCATAGGATGTTTTAACACCACACAAAATGTTTTTTTATAATCTTTAACAAGTGGCAAATTAAATTTTTATAAGTACCTTTCTGAAAACCTCTGTTAAGTAACTACAGGGAGTTTCTGGTTTTAATCATAATATTTGTATGAATTATAAACAGTTTTGTTTACTGGAAATAAAAGGAAACCTTTTTTTTATATTTGAACTTTTGAAAGTAAAGATTCATTTTTTAATATTGTCCTTTTAAGTTGAATTTTCAAAATAAAATCTTTTGGATTTTTTAGAATTTTTTATTTATTCTACAAAACCAGAAAGAATACAAAAGAAAATATATTAGAAAATTAAGAATTAAATGATATATCCATATTTTAAATGGAGTATTTGAAAATCCACAGAACAAACACTGTTAAAAATGCCCCACTGTACAAATGAAAGGTTAAAAATATATATACTATTACATTATTAAAGTAATTATTATAGAAAATATAATATAATGTATTCTTAAATTAAACTGAAACACATCACAGAATGTCATAATATTAAAATATTATAGAAAGTATAATATAATATATTTTTGAAATAGACATCTAACTGAAACATATTATAGAAATATTATATTACAGTAATTATTATAGAAAGTATGATATAATGTATTCTTAAAATAGACATCTAACTGAAATGTTTTATAGGAAATATTCAAATATTAAAGTAATTATTATAGAAAGTATGATATAATGTATTCTTGAAATAGATATCTAACTGAAAAATTCCTCTCCAGAACCAACGTTACAATCTTTTTACCATAATGTTTTTCTTGTGATTTTTAAATTTTAAATTTTAAAAATCATATTCTTCTGTAAAAGCAATGGCCCCCAGTTGATCATAAGCATTAACTCACTCAACAACGTTTTAAATTAAAGAGGCAGGCTTTAACATAAAATGTTCTTGCTCTACCTGTGTTTATTACTGAAATAAAAAGTTGAGTGCATAAATTTATAATAGAAAATGGGTAGTAGATATTTATAGTAAAAATGAATAATTTTAATTTAGTAAAAATGAGTACATGGAATTTCTAGTAAAAATGTTTAATTGAAATGTATTTAAAAAAATTGTACTTAAAAATGTATTAAAAAAAGCTGATAATTGAAACTTTTAGTAAAAATGGATATATGAAATTTATTTTAAAAATGTGTACTTAAAATTTATAGCAAAAAATGCTTAATTTAACTCTATAATAAAAATGAGTACATGGAATTTTTAGTAAAACAGGTATTTAAAATTTACTTGAAAAATTTGTACTTAAAATTTATAGCAGAAAAAACGACTTGAAATTTTTAATAAAAATGGGTACTTGAAATTTATTTTGAAAATATGTACTTAAAATTTATAGCCCAAAAAAACGTGTAATAGAAATTTTTAATTAAAAAATAGATATATGAAATTTTTAGCACAAATAGATACTATAAATATATATATATATGTAAATGTGTACTTAAAATTTAACAAAAAATTTATGGTAAAAATGGATACCTGAAAGTTATCGTAACAACAGATACTCAAAATTTATAGTAAAAACAAATGGTTGAAACCTGTTGGATTTAGCTTAAAATTCCACTCAATGGGTGGGTTCACAGCTAGTATACAAAAATTCACTGTATGTGATTACTTATTGTTTCTCACCAGACATGACCAAAGAAACAACTTGCTCAAGAAAAGTACCAAAAGAGAATTATATTTTTTCACTCTACTTTGGATGCCGGAACGATGACATCGACAACATATTTAAAGAAGAATTACAAGAAGCTCTCACAGATTCAGTCTTGACCCACTTGAATGTTGCTCTTTCCAGGCAAACAGGAATGAAAAAGGTAAGTTATTGAGAAAAGCAGACTGAGTTATTCTACCAGAAACAAAAAAAAGTTAAAATTTGAAAAAAAAAAAAAAAAAATTTCCAGCTAACTTAATAAAAAAATGGATACTTCAATACACACATACACACATATAACTGTGGTTTGTTCTTCTTTTATGTGTCATGTCTGTTCAGGACATTGGCAATCATGTCTCTCCACTTCCCCCTATCCCTTGTAACTCTCAATAAGTTTTGTCCCTTTGCTACCTCTCCCAGACCACGTTCTGTCATCCACTTGCTTAACCCTGCTAAGTATGTCACTCATTGCTTTCCCTTGTCTCCATTTTCCTCTATTCGCCCTCTGAGGATCAGATTCTCCAAGCCCTCCTTTCTCATTACATGTATCAGAAATTTCAGCTGCCTCTTACTGATGTTAAGTATAAGCTTTCTCCTTGTTTGCATCCTTTCCAAAACCTCATTGTTGCTCACATGCTCAGTCTATGATATCCTTAGCATCCTTCTGTAGAACCATAGCTCCATTGCCTCTTATCTCTTCTTCATCTTTGAGGAAACAATCCAACATTGCTGTTGTAAAGGAAAACAGATATGTAGCAGTTCACTACTCTTTATTACCAACAAAATCCTTGTGTCTCATAATATTCTGCTTAAATTTTGGAATGCGTCTTTGGTCATCCCAATAACTCATAGGATCTCAGTGTTGCATTTAATGTCCTCTATCAGAACACTTCCCATATATTTAAATTTCTCCACCTGCTTGATTTTAGTGTCCCTGACCTGTAAATTGCATTTCAGGCTCATCTTTTTATTGATGACTATGCATTCTGTCTTCTTGAAGTTTATGCTTAGTCCCTTCTTCTCTCTCTCCTTCGCTACCTTCTGTAGGAGGTTTTGTAATTTCTCTTCCATGTTTGCTATCAGTACTGCATATCTTATGTTGTTAAGATTGTGGCCACCAATGATGAATTCTGGTAGGATTTCCAATTCTTTCCGAATTGTCTTGCAGTATATTTTGAATAAGTCTGGTGAGAAGACACAATCTTTCTATTTTTGCTGAACTCATTTTCTATTCACATGCAGGCCATTTGCTACAGTATAAGTTCTTGATTATTCTAATATCTTTCCCAGATATATCAAGGTTGCTGAGCAGTTCCAACAGATCTTTGTGACATACTTTGTCGAATGCCATTGCATAGTCTATAAAACACGGGTGCACCTCCTTCTGCATTTGTATTACTCTTTCAGATAACATTCTGAGCATGAATATTGCATTTCTTGTTGCAGTATATTTGTGGTTTAGCTTAATGAGAAAAGAATTAAAACAGTTTTCCACAGATGTTTCTAATTTTCCTGTGGCTGTGGTTCATGCTGAAGAGCTCGGCTTTATCACATCAGCTGCAGTTGAAATTCTAACAGTTGGTGGGAAGCTCCTAATTTATGGTACCCTTTTCTCTTCTCCTTTTGCTATATGATTTTTTTTTTGGTGTAGGGGGTGGGAAGAAAATTGCCCGAGAGAAAGAGTGTGGCCATGACTTGCTATCAGCAGTCTCTATTGTCCACTAACACCAGAGATCACCCACTTCTCTTGAGACAGGATCAACCATATCCCATCTTCTGCTGTAATAACTTTTGCTTGTTTGGCATCCTACTTTGTCTTTGTTCTGCCATCCATTCACTGAAACTTGTTAAGTAGGTTACGCTCAGTTTCCCCCTTCCATCTGTTGCCTTCACTATGTCTTGTGAATCTTAAATTCACCAAGCTTTCTTTCCTCATTATATTTCTCAGAAATTACCAGGAGATTCTTTGTTGATCATTTTTCTCTTACAACTTCTTCAGTGCTCTGTCCATGATATTGTCCATATTCATCAGCAGAACAGGCTTATGGCTACATCATATTGAAACACCAGTTTCTGTATGATCACCAAAGTTAAGCAATGTTGAATCTGGTCAGTACCTAGATGGGTGACCACTTGGGAATACCAGATGCTGTAAGCTTGGTGTAATGGATAATAGCTTAGAGTTGTTAATCGGAGAGTCGAGTTTCAATTCTCTTTGGGTTTGTTATATTCACTAACATGAAAATAACCTTGTGAATGGTACGAATCTACCTTTTCTTTTCACCAGCTATGGGGTAATTAATAAGACATATCACTAAACCATTATTATCTCAAAAAACAAAATTCTTACAACCTAAAAATAGTTTTTTTTGCTGGCTTTAAATAACCTGGTATGGGTTGATAAGCCATAAAAACAAATCCCTCAGTCAGCAGAACAACAAAGTTTTAGAGAAAATGGAACCAAAAAGAACATTTATATTGGAAAGTGAAAGTTGAAATTTCTAAGGCAGATAATGATGAAAAAGGGCTTAGAAAATTTGACACTCACAGGACATGTTGAAGGCAAGAGGGACAGAGGAAAACAATGATCTTAACCTATGAAGCACAGTTGTGTAAATGATTTGGTAAAACAGGGATTAGGAGAGATAGGAAAAAGTTAAACTTTATTAAGAGCTACAAAAGATAGAAAATTGTAGAGAACCATGATTTTCCACATGATAGTTGAATTCTTACGAACTTTAGTTCTTTTTGGATTATATAAATGGCCAATATTCTCGTTAGAGAAAAAACTCAATGTTGATGGAGCTTATATGGTAAAACGAAAACTTAAACTTGTACTTTTTTTTAAGCATTTCACCCCAAGCAAGGCGGGAGTGCCACTAGCACACAAGGGGTTACAGAGAGTGGGAGCAAGAGTAAGGAGGCATGATAGAGGAAAGGATGAAGAGAAGGACAGGGAATTAAATCAAGGCATCTAAAGATGTCAATTGACAATTACATTTGAATAGTTGGAGTTTATAGCTATCAAAGAAACTAGTAATAGGAAGGGAATTCCACAGACAGGAGGTGCGAGACATGAAGCTATTGGAGTAGAAGAGACGGCTACATTTAACCATTTTGACAGTGAAAGGGTGGGACCGAGATACCAGCTTAGTAGCACATTTAAATTCATGCAGTCTGGGAACTAGCGATAGTAGACGAGATGCCAGATCAAAGCCATATAAATTTTTTTAATTCCAATTCTCCACAAAAATTTTGAATGACCTTAGTACATAATCTTAAATGTTCATATCTTTATTATTATTATTAGTTATCACTCTGACTCATCTGATCGCCAAAGTTAAGCAATGTCAAGCCTGATCAGTACCCAGATGGTTGATTACTTGGGAATACCAGGTGCTATAAGCATGGGAATGTGCTGGTGGTGTAATGAGATATCAAAATGCTGATTTCAAATTGCAGTCATATATTCACCTACATACAAATATCATTGGAAAAGGTATGACTCCACCTTTTCTCCCTAAGCTATGGATTAAATAGTAGGAATTGTATCTAGAAAACTTATTGTTATCACACAAAAAAATATTTTTAATGCAAAACTCATCCACAAAGAAAGAATTGTTCTTACAATTCAAAAAAAATGTTTTGGTATAAATAACTCACAAAGAATTGATAAGCCATAAAAAATAAATTAATCAATCTTTTTAATATTAATTACATGACTTTATTTTCTGTTCACAGACATACGTCCAACATTTGCTTCTCCGGGACAGTGAATTTATCTACTCTGTGCTGACTGCACAAAAAGGACACATCTACATTTGTGGTGACAGCAATATGGCTGCAGAAGTCCGTCACACCCTAGAAAAGATCTACGCTCAATGTAAAGATGCAGACAATCAAGAAAGTTCACAGTTTGTTCAGCAACTCCAGGTTAGTATTTGTTATAAAACTCTTTCTTGTTTTCTTTTGCATATCAATTCCATGAAATCAAAGATTTTAATATTAAACATTTTGAGAAATTCCTATAATAGATACAATAATATAAAAGAGTAATTTCATATAGGTAATTATTATAATAAAATTAATTATTAGATATAGTCATAAATATCATAAAATAAATTATTAGATTTAGTCATGATTATCATAATAAAATAAATTATTACATATAGTCAAAAATATCATAATAAAATATATCATTAGATATAGTCATAAATATCATAATAATATAAATTGTTAGATACTGTTATAATTAACATAACAAAATAAATTATAGTCAGAAATATCATAATAATATAAATAATTACCTATAGACATAAAAATCACAACAAAATAAATTATTATAGTCAATAATATTATAAAAAAAATAAATTATTAGATATAGTCATAAATATCATAATAATATAAATTATTATAGTCATAAATATCATAATAATATAAATTGTTTGTTATAGTCATAAATATCATAACACCATAAATTATTATAGTCATAAATATCATAATAATATAAAATGTTTGATATAGTCATAAATATCATAATAATATAAATTATTACCTAGTCATAAATATCATAACAAAATAAATTATTATAGTCATAAATAATAATATAAATTATTAGATGTAGTAATAAAAATCATAGTAAAATAAATTATTAGTTTTAGTCATAAATATCATAATAAAATCAATTATTAAATATAGTAAAAAATATCATAATAAAAAAAATTATTAGATTTGATATGAAAATAAAGTAAAACAGGATACACCTTTTTGGTTCCATATAATATCAATCTCTCTCTCACATTTGTGGAACTCTTTTCTGTTTTTTTGGCTTTCCCATCAAATATATAGAAAATAGGAAAGAACTCGTTAGGTAAATAATCCAAAATTCTTTAGTATTTTTGTTATTATTTTTAAAAAAACAGTGGTTTTTAAAAACACTTAAATGAAAATCATCATCATCTGTCTTTTTGGATCCTGTTCCTTTTATTGTCCTCTATGCTTAACAATGTTTTCTCAGATTCTTTCACTCTAACTAACCACTTAAATCTTAGTGGCTTTATCACCTTGCTAGGGGTGAAATGAATTTAAAAAAAATTGTTCTGGTAAAGCACAAAATAAAAAATTCAGACAGCTAAATCAGATATAAAAAAAAAATCTAGGTGTGGTTGGGTCGTGGCTAACTCAGATGTTAACTTTCAAAATTTCATGATTCTTTATTTTTTTTTATCTGACCCACTTATAGAAGGAACATATTTTTTTTTTTATATTCTTTGGTTTGATTTTAAATATTTTTGTGATGTCAACAAATGCTCATTGCCACTTTTGTGATGCCAATGAATACTCATTGTCACTTTTGTAATGCTCATTGTAGTAGAGACTTTGTAATTGCAGATTACAACTATAGTATACTGTTGAATACGCCTTCGAATATCACTTGCATTAATAATAGTACTTGCTCGATATTACTCGCTCAAAATTAACCACCAAATAGTAATGTGAATAGAGAAAAAATATAGTGAATAGAGTAGAGAATAGCGGTCCGTATAGTAATAAAAGACAGAATAGAAATAGTGATTGTTAGTCGTCATGATACTTTCTACTTGTGTTTCCTCTATGGTCATGTGATCCACTTAAATCAATAATGGGATCACCTGTGTTTATTAACTGGTAATCTAAGTTCAAACTTCAGTACTGGCAGTGACACTTTATTCTTATATAACAAATATACATTTTTTTTACTGATTGTTTGTACCTATTTTCAAAAAACAAACCTTTCAAGATTTTCCTCGTATAAGACTTATAGTCAAGAGAAGAAAAGGTTCAAGAGCCTTTGCACTATTTTTTATACTTTTCAATTTCTTTACAAGAATCTGCTTAACTTTAAATATGGTAAAAGTATGAATGCACTAATTTATGCATTTTTATCAGGCATAAAAAATATATGTTATTATTGTTAAGACTTCTATACAGGGAGATGCAAAAGTAGGTATACAGTAACAAAACATGCACACAAACACATTGATTATACAATCATATCAATAATAACACGATAATACTTACTGTATACCTACTTTTGCACTCTTGATAAGACATATCCTCACTGGTTGTTCCATGCTTTTGGCCTTGTGCCATATCTAAGTAAAGCTTAGTAAATCACTAAATATAAGGATTATATAAATGTTTTCTAAAAAAAAATAACAAAGAAGAATTATTATTATTAATAACAGTATTTTTTAAAATCTTTCTACCTCAAAGAGGTGAGAAAACCACTAAATTGCAAGGTGTTACTGAGAGTAAAAGGACCTGAGACAAATGATTATTAAGGAGAGAGGTCAATAAAATAAAAGGATTCAAGAAGATAGATGATGATGATTGGCATTGCATTTAAATTTTTGAAGATCAAGTTGATTGGAAAGCAAGAAGCTGGAAGAGAGTTTTGCAAGAGAGAAATGTGAGAGAAGAAACTGTCAGCATAGAACTTAACTTATATCTAGCCATTTCAACTGTAAAATGACGAGACCTAGCTGACAATCTAGTACTGCACTTAAATTTGTAAGATCAAGGTACCAAAGAGGAAAGTTCATTAGAACAATTACCATGAAAGTAGCATAAAAAAAGGATACGGATGCTATATTATGGCCGTGGGAGAGTGACGGAAGTCAAAATGTTTTTTTTTTAGATTAGTAACAGTACTGACTTTAGACAAATAATTCGGCTTGACTCATTAGCATTATCATAGATTAAAGCCACCAAGGAGACAGCTTTAATGTTCTGTTTGTTTCTCAGTTCCAGTAATCATGGGAGTACCAAAACCCCACTCTCAGCCCTCACTGTTACACAGTGGATTCTATTCTGATAATCCCAATCTGAATTTCTGAGATGAAAAATTATTATTATCATACATTAATGTAATCCATATCCAATCTGTATCAACTGGGTTACTATGAAGAAGGGGTATCATGATGTAAGACCCGAAGCCTCGTATAATCCTTGACTGAAAACATTACAAATGATGGGTATTGAAGCATCAAACAGATGTATTTCATAAAAAGAATCAGACTAATATCCCCATCTTTGTTGTTATATTCATAAAATTTCAACTGTTGTATCATCCTGTCCTCTTCAGAAGTTGCTAAAGCATTTTGAATTTGAGTTTGAATTCCAGTCTCATTTGTTACATTAACTTGTGTGCATGGGAAAGATATGAATCAATACCTTCTCTCCCCAGCTATGGGTAAATAGCAGGATAGACTTGGAAGGCAACCAGTCTAGGAGAACAACAACTCTGACTTCAAAACCTCCAACTATGGGTTAAATAGCTTTACCAACCCAGAGTTGGCCAAGTGTGGTAAATACAGCTATATCACTGAAGACATAGTCAATCAGGGAGGGGTTTCTACTAGGAGTGATAAGGCTCTGCATCTGTTCTAGTGAGCTTTCATCCCTGGTACCTTTTAAATACATAATAAAACTGAAATACAGGATGAAGATCAACTGTAAATTATTTTGAATTTCCTGCTCATTTTCATAATAGGATAATGACATTTTGATAATGGTTTAGAAAGTTTCTTCAAATGAAAATTAATCTTTTTCAAAAAAACATCACTATATATATATATATATGTGTGTGTGTGTGTGTGTGTGTGTATGTGTGTGAAAATATATAGAAAATAGGAAAGAACTCGTTAGGTAAATAATCCAAAGTTCTTTAGTATTTTTGTTATTATTTTTAAAAAACAGTGCTTTTTAAATAATTAACTATATATATATATATATATATATATATATAGTTAATTAAAAAATTGGAGACTTCAGAAAGCCATGATAATATGTTATTTCATGAGACTGATAAAATTCAATTTAGCTTTGGCAGACCTGGTGGTCTCAAAATAATGAATCTCTGATTTGTTAATTATTACTTGCTCTGTATATTACATTGAGCTCTCAGGTTTTATATCCTCCTTGTAATTATCTATATGGATTGCCAATTAACTTTATCATATTATTCATATATATATATATATATATATATATATATATATATATATATATATATATACTATATTTTAAAAGCCACCCTAACTGGCAGAGGGCCCTTATTTGGGCCTTCATCACAATAGGTAGGGAGGAGTAGATGCGATAGGCAACAATAAACTATAGAAGAAGTCAGAATTGATTGCTGCATTTAAGTATTGCATTAATATTTTACCTTTTAAAAGTTCAATGATAATTCTTCTGATGCCACTTAATTTTAGCTAGCCCGATGATTATTTATGAGCTTTTCTTAAATTAAAAAGTTTTGAAAAATTAACATTTTTAATTTTGTGTAAACATTTCAGATAGAGTATATCTGTAAAGGGACAATAGGATTGAAAACAAAAAGGAAAATTTATCTTAGCTGACGTGTTTTGTCCTCTGAGAGACTTTATCAAGGCATTTGTCTCTCAGAGGATGAAATGCTTGGGCTAAGATAAGTTTTCCTTTTTGTTTTTATTCATTTTATTTTTTTTTTATAAATACTTGTGGCAAAACAAAATCCTTACATACTTAAAGTCCATCAGAGAAAGAAACATGTCAGCTAAGATAAGCTTTACTTTTGTCTTTATCCTTTTTCCCTTTAACAGATATATTTTTAATTATATCTGAAATTTTACATATATATATATATATATATATATAATAAATTTTTAAAATTTTCATTTCAGAGTTCTGGCCAACTGCATGAAGACATATTTGGTGTCAAACTCCTCTTGCCACAGTCAGCCTCCTGAGGTAATGCACACTCCAGCATTCAGATCTACCGTCTCACATCATAGAACAAATAATAAAATACAGCCAGACACTATGGACTAAAATAAATATAATCTCAAATGGTAACATTCTAAGAATAATGGTAAACATTGAAGACCAAATTTTGATCCTCTTGTCAAAAGACTGAATCTAATTCAATGGGTGCATACACTAAACAAGAAAATGTCATCCTAGAATCAAAAATACCATATTTTTCTGAATATAAGATGCATCAGTGTATAAGGTGCAGGCTTCATTTTTTAAGCTAGTTTTAGAAAAAAAAAACTAGTATTTTAAAAATTTAACCTGATACTTTAAAAATTAGTAGATATTGTTCTAAACAAATAAGAAAATACAGACTAAACAAAGGTTTACAATTCTTTAGTTTAGTTAAAAAAAAAAATAATAGGCCTTTGTGTCTTATGAACTAATGGATGACCTGTGAAACCTTCTTAACAATTATCACATGGAATCCTCTTTGCTTTAACAATTATAACAAAAAGAGAGTCACTCTCCTCCATTGACCAACAGACTATGTGCAGTTTATTCTCAAGATTTTATCATTTTGTACCCCCTCACCACCAGAAATTGCTTTTATCACTTTTATTCAGCAAAATTGGTGTATAGGATTCAGATTTTGACATCAAATAATGAGGTAATGAAAGTGCATTTTATCCACTGAAAAATAAGGTATTTTTATTCTTAATCACCAGATGGTAAAACATCGCTACACAAAAGAAGGAATTAACAAGAAGAATTATCATATTGTTTGACATAAACATTTTATTTATTTCTAAATTGGGGTTTTAAGTTAACTCCTATGTAAATTCAATTTATTAGTGATCTCCACATGTTAATCCTTCTATATCGTTAATATATACTCAAATGATTTGGTAATCACTTTATTACTCATAAACATCTTGTTACAGCCATTCCAGTGGAAACCAAATAGTGTACAACAAAATATTCATATTGAGTTTGACTGACCTGTCTGGAAAGGATTAACAAATTCCATTCTATGTAATCTGACAATGGCTGAAGAAATGTTATCTTTACATACAAAAGATTAGTGTCAAATTCTGTATAGTCTGATTAAAGAAGAGTTATCTTTTTGATTTGATCCATAAATGGATTTTGGAGATAGTAGAAATTTATAGGTTATAGTTAGAAGCCTATAATTGATACTGTATTTTTTATAAGCCTATAATTAATACTAGATTGTTTTATAGACCTATAATTGATACTGGAGTTTTTTTTATGCCTATAATTAATACCTGATCTTTTATAAGCCTATAATTAATACTGGATTTTTTATAAGCTTATAATTAATACCAGATGCTTTATAAACCTATAATTAAAATCGACTTGATTTTTTTCATAGACTTATAAATATTACCAGATTTTTTTTATAGCTCTATAAATAATACAGGATTTTTTATAAGAATATAATTAATACTGAATTTTTTATAGACCTATAATCAATATAATTTTTTAAACCTATAATTAATAATGAATCTTTTTATAAATCTATATCAGATATTTATTTTTATAATTAATACTATATTTTATAGTAGCCATTGATGGGTTAATATCTTAAAATTTATTTGTAAATAAATGAGGTACAAGGAGTTTTAAAATGAGTATTAATATATATGTTTCCAGAGAGTTCTTTAGATTAAAAATCATTTTTCTTTTCAAGTAAATGAGTATGTCATTAAGACCCAGTATTATAAATATATCTATCAACAGGAATTATATTTGCAGAATTTTCATTTCTGATATCAAGATCTTTCAACTTCATCCAAATGCCATTTTACTAATCAATAATTTTATCCACTTACTCCGTTTTTTTTATCTTACCACAGAATATCTGTAATTTAGCAATCAGTTTTATGTATTTCTGATTCTTGAAATACTCAATATGGCCAAAACTGAGTTTTGTAGATATCTTTCAAGATTTCAATATCTCAATCCCTATTTTTTTTTCTTCTGGCAAGAAACAGTAAATGTTGGACTTGATCTACTATTCCACACATAATCTGGTGATAAAACATTGTATAGGGCCTTGTGGCTGAGGTAGTTGCAGATTCTCGTTGGCACCACTGCTAAAGTCCAAGACAGTTTTCCATGAAAATCTATTTGTATTTCTCTTCATAGTTATTTTATTTTGAAATAAAATTTTTTATTGTCTTCCAAAGGATTTTGCTTTCTTTCATTCAATGAACAAAATTTGTTTGTTTTATATTCCTGCATCACAAATAAACGTACTAAATAAAAAAAAATTGTTTGTCTATATTTCTGAGATGAGGTATTGTAAGCATTTACACCATTTATATTATTCGGATTGTTGTCCTCATCTTTATTGTCATATTCACAACATTTCAACCCTTATATGCTCCAGCCTTATTCAGGATCTGTCTATATTTCTGAGATGTGGTATTGTAACTATTTACACCATTTATATTGTTCAGACTGTTGTCTTCATCATTGTTGTCATATTCACAATGCTTCTTCAGGTGAGTGGAATTTCAAACCGAGCCCTTTATTTCGCCCACCAGGGTAAATTGTTGTAGTTCCACATGCCATGTCTTTTCCGGATATTTCAGGGGATAAAAGTGTTGTCTGAAGTAATCCAGTAACTTGAACCAAAGAGTTGTGAGTTCAATACCTGGCTACAGCAGAGGTGAACAAAAACTTGGAGGGTTGAATTACTAAAGGGAGATAACTGAAACTGAAATATCTGTGAAGCAGATTTGGTATCTACTAAGGGTAATTTTTTTCTCTTTTAACATTTGCATATCCCTTCCTAGAGAATAGAAAATAAAAATATGAAGATGCACTAGAATAGTGAATAATGGCTTACAAAAGCTAAGCAAATTATTAAGAAACAGGAAAATTTTATAAACAACAGTATTGAACTGTTATTAATATCTGTCCTCCTATATGGCAGTGGATGAATGTAGACAATCTCATCACAGATGAAGAAAAAAATGAATGCAGCAGAAATGTGCTTCTACAGAAGGATGTTGAGAATGCTATGGACAAAACATGTGAGCAATGACAAAACTTTAGAGAAAATGGAATCATAAACGACACTTATGTGTAGCATCAGAAAGAAAAAATTGTAATTTCTAAGGTAAATAATGAAGAAAGAAGGCTTAGAAAATTTGACACTCACAGGACATATTGAAAGCAAGAGGGATA